CACTACGCTACATTACAGTTCCTATCTGTGGAGAGGCACCACTATTCACAGAAGGAATTATTGTATGGGCCGATAGTCCACATCGGCATGCTATACCTCATTATAGACTCTCTATATTTCGTCTATTTAATCCTATTTACAGACAGATAAATGTGCTAATATGTGCCACTGCATCAGTATTTATCAGAGGTCTAATTTGTCTGTGTTTAACGTCATACTGCCCCTGAAACTCACATGATCTTGTTTACACCAGTGCGCAACACTGAGGCGCTGACTTTAAATGCCCTTGTGCTAGATATTGACTATAAATAAAAGTTAATTTCAGCACAGTTTAGGCCAGCAACAAAACTACTGCTTGTTTTAGTGTGAAAACGGAGGTGAGTGATACACAAATTCTTTTTACGGACGATTGTTTTGAGTCAGGATTAAAAGGAGACATATTTGTGAAGAGTTGTGATCTGAGAGGTTGGTTTTGAAGGTACTTTTTGTTGTTTCTCATTTACTTTGGCCTACTGTAAAGTGACTATATTGGCCGTATACATGTTACCAGACCTGCATTGATATGTAGATGAGGTGTGAATAGAGGTGTAAATGGTCCACATTTACTGATATTACTGCGGCACGCACGCATTTGATGCTAAAGGGTAAAGTTTACTTACTTTGTTTACAGGCTAGCATGTGATGCAAAGATGCAAAAATGCCATTAGGCCTACTTACTGTCTTTAAGTATGACTGTAATAAGGCAGAATAACAATAAATGTAGCCTAAACAAACCCAATTTAAAATCCAATAGAGCCAAACCTAAGTTTAAGAATATTTTGAACATTTACAGTGAAGTTGGCACATCACTAAATATACCGGCTGTTATATCGGTATCTCCATAGCCCATTTTATTGGTATCATATCAGATGAGTCTGCATTTTTAGAAATAATTTTATTTGAGCAGAAAGCAGTGAGAGGAAATAGAGGGTACATGAAGAATTTTTAGAGCACTTAAACCTTAAATGCAAGACAATACAGGATTACTCAAGCATACATGAATCAATTGAAATACAACTTAGCATAGGCTTTTGTGAGGGAACACTATGATAACATGGTTAAAATCTCATAATAGCCGTGATCCTTTTAAAATTAAGTCCTCATCATTATTATGTCCTAGTAGTTGCCATAATATTTCAACACTAAGGGATAATATTTCAACATTAAAGGATAGATTTACTACTCAATGCCACTTTCAACACCACATTAATGGATGAAACACATTTTTACAATAATAGAATATAATTCACAAGATCACATAATATTTAATCCTTAAATATTACCATGTGGTCTTACACTAGTCATCAGATCATCTTAAAACTATTTGGGAAAGGTCCAACTTTCTCTTACTGTATTGTTTTTCAGTACTGATACCTTTTCAGATGTATAGTTTGAATACCAGATTAATATCACCTTAACAGAGACTTTAGGAAGTCTTTTTGAGTTCTCTGACTGGTTTTGTAGTCTAAATTATTATTACTTCCTTGTCCTGTCTGTGTTGTGGCATTGCATACTTCTCATATAGCCACAGTTTAAACCTGTCGTAGTTCTTACTTGATCCGGGTTTACTTGTGGGCTAGTCCTTGTTTAATCCTGGTTTACTTTGCTTCTTCTGGTTAAGGATATTGTTCAGGTGAGGTTCACTGTGCCGTCTTTGTTCCATAGCCAGTTGTTGACCTGTGAGGTAATCTATGTTTTCCCAGTTTTTATAATGTATTAACTATTTTGATGCCTGGTTATTCTAGATTTGGGCTGCTTTTAGTTCAACCTAAACGTTTTCCTCACTTTTGTTCCCCTGAAATCTATCCTTTTAGTTCTTTCATTGTTGTCGTCCATGGACTTACCTTGAGCTTTTCAGACCTCTTTTCTTTCTACACAAAGCCTCTTTTCTCTATAGTCTCATACTTTAGGTTAGCTCCTCCTACACGGAAGTCCTCAATGCTATTCTTGTTTTGTGTCACAATTTTGTGTTTTTGAGCAGGTATTTTTGTCAAGAAATTCAACCCCTCCACTCATATTCCAATTTGCTAACCTTAGCTTCCTGTAGCGCTTAACCAAACTAAATAATAGACTCTACAATTGTTTAATAAATAGACCCATTTATTTTATAATCAACATAGGTCCACAAGCATCCTGGTGAAATACTGTTAGTTAGAGAACCTCATTTTAATATGGTGACTCTTGTGTGGAATGTCACTGTATATCTGGGTAATAAACATTGGCACGTGTGCACACATTAGCTCTACAGAAGCTATATTATCTTTAAGAAAAATCTGATTTTTATCACAATATTTAGGGATGCACTGATACGATACAGGTATTGGTCCAAAGCTGTACTGTAACTACTTTATATAATAAATAGCAGTTACAAAACACGTTTGGATAATTGTTTCCCATACACCATATAATAAATAAATTCTGTTTTCAGTCTCTGCTCTGGTATTGGTTGATATTGGGTATTGGCAGTTATTTAAAGCCATAATTTCAACTTTGGTAAACACATAAAAACATAAAAAGTGGGAATGGTGCATCCCTAACAATATTTAAACTCACCAGCATGCATTCACTGCTTAACTGTGTACCTAACTCTTAAATGGGTCTATTTGGTTCTCACAACTCTACAGACACTAGCTTAAGTCTTAAATCTATCTCATGTTGCTGCCTTAACAAGTGAAATCATGCATTAACATTGCGGTAACAGGAGCTGAGTGGCACTCCTTTTACAAGGTCTGAGGAGGAGACCCACCTCTGGATTTAAACCAGTCCTGGGTTTGGTCTTGGCCTCGACTTGAACCCCTTTGAGTCAGACTGGCTTGTTTCACACTGATGGTAAAAAGGGGGTCAGATCCAGTTTGGGCAGCTGTTAGTCAGTGGATTGTAAAATGTGAATATTAATCAGCTAATACAAAAACTAGGCAGTTTTTTACAATAAAATGACTGAAATCTGTAATATGACTAAGAAATGTTTAAATGGCTTTATGCATCCTGTAATAATCCAAAACGTATTCTAAGTGTATAATATTGTTAAAAAAAAATAATGAGCTGCAATAACTCAGCAGCAGAATGAAACCCTTTGGTTAAATAGTTTAAATAGTTATTAATTCAAAACCAAAAAACAAAAACAAAAAAAAAGTCTTTCAAATGTTCCCCAGACCACTTTCTCCTCAGTGTGAATGCAGTCTGTGGCAGGGTCAAACTCCTGTCTGGACAAATGGGGTTCTGTCAACTGAACAACAAAAGGCCGACCTCGTCTTTGTCTGAGAGGAAACTCAAAAGAATGGGATTTGGGACTGACCCTTCTGACGTTATGTGGCTATGTCTCCCTTTTATAGACTGGTGATCATATGGTTTATTTGGATAGCTGAAAGGCTTAAACAGTGGCTTAAAGGTGAACTGTGTAACTTCCGGGTAGAGGGTCCGCCACCTGCTTGTCTTTATGGAAATGTTATCGCTTCATCCCACAGTATGGCATTAAACTCATCTATATGGTTGGAGACAAGCCCATAATGCATCCAGGCTAAGTTATAGATCAGATCTGTGGAGAGAAGAGGTCACTCATTCTTTGAATGTTTTTTCATATTGTTGAGCAGTAAAACACCATTAATTGAATAAATGCAACCTGGATGAGTTTAATGCCATACTGTGAAACCTTTCAGGCACAGCAATATTATCTCCATGGAAACAAGATTGCGGTGGACCCCCTTCCAGAAAAGTAGTGCACAGTGCGCCTTTTAATTTTAGCAGCTCTACTAACTTTGATAGTTTTAGCCGTATTAAATTAACCAAGTTTAACCCACATAAACCCAGGCCTACTTTTACATGCACTCGTAATTCCATCAAACTTTTTCTAAAAACTTAAACTTCATTAGAATTGTTTGAATTGCTGGCATTTTATATATTTTAATCCAGGATTACTTTTCCAGCTAATATAATGCTATTTCCCTTTGACCTACACTCTGCATATTTTAATGCTACGCACAATTTAAACATATAATGACATAATATTTTCCACTGAAACTAACTAATTTGCCAAAGAAGCTCTCCTCCTGCATTCCTTCCACATCGCAACTTCAAATATGTGCAGACTTTTTGCTTTGTTAAGAACTGACAATGAAATGAAGTCTCTGAATGCTTTTGGTAGATGGCTGGATATATACTTATTGGTCTTTATTGCAGAGAAAAAAGTTGAGTTATTTGCCTTAACTTTTGAAAAAGTGCAACATTGGGCTTAATTATTTCTGTGTTCATTTAAATTCATATAATTACTAATGCTTAAACTATACTTTGGATAAATTAGAACAATCGGGTTTAACTTGGATTTTTGAATGGATCTGATTGAAAATTAGTAGCTATAACTAGGGATGGGATGAGACACAATTTCCACAAAATGAGATGAGTTTGGGGCCAAGCTCAAGACGAGATGAGATTTTAACATAATTCCTAATATATAAATTTCACAATTCAGTTTCCAATTTGAAATATGGCCTCACAATTTTTGAAATTTGATTTCATATTTTTATTTCCATTCTAATACTGCATTTTGGAAATGTAAGAGATGTAACTCACCAACACATAACCAACCCAATCCAAATATAAACAGTTGGAAGAAAATCTCATAAGATCATTTTTCTCATGTGTGCATAATCTTGTGCCAGTTTTGTCTCATGAAATCTTGTTGCAGAAGATCTTCCCTACTAAAATCTCACTGATATTTAGAAATACTGTGCTGGAATTATATTGGTGCATGTAAAAGTTCTGGGTTCAAAATCACATCCTTTGATCTTACAGTACAATACAGTATTATTTCACTTGGTCTAACTTTAACCTAGTTCATCCCACACAGACATCTCCTCCTTTCTGGGCTCCAGATCATGTATAGTGTTGTAGGCAACACAAATTTTGACAGTTTTGTTCCTCCCTCGTCTTCCCCTCCCTCCCCTTTTTATCACATCCACTTCCAGGACAGGAAATTCTTCAAGGGATTCTTTGCAAAAGTAAGTTGTCTGAGTGTTTTTGAGTGTTTTTTATTTTATTGTTTTATTTCTTCCTTTCACGTTAACGCTTCACCCTTTGATCACGACTCCTGGCTGAAGACACCAGCACTGAACATGTCTGATGCATGTGTCTTTTAGTATGTTAAGTGATTTGGGAGGGGCACTTTCTCTGTTTTTGTATTAACAGGTGTGACTTCCCTTCAGCTCTTCTCCTCTACAAACAGAGAAATGAACATTGACAAATTACTGTATTTGTCTTAACTCACACAAATGTTTAGCTTTGTTGTGTTAACCCAATGGGGACAGCCACTGCATCAGAGCACTATGTTTTATGCCAGACTTTTGGTTTTTAAAATAGACATGAATCTCAGGCTATGTCCACAGTTAATCTCTGAAATCTGAAATGAGTGAGGCTTTCATATGAGTAAAAGTTTAGTGTCAAACGATGTAGTAAAAATATGATATGCACTTGTCTTTTGGAGATGTTTTGTCTGAAATGTTCCACTATATGGCCGAAACCTAAATCTAAATTGCATTTATTCAGTTATGGGCATTTTGACTTACTAAAAAACACCTTAAAAAGATGCATTCTTACAATAACCAGGGTCATCTCTCCATCTCTCCCCAGATCTGACCCGCAATATGGCATGGTGGAGCTTGTATCTGCTTGCCTCTGTGGAGATATGTTTGTAGCCATACAGTGTGGAACATTCCAGGAAAAGCAAAAACATCTCCATAGAGACAAGTAAATGGCAGTTACTTAGTACACATTTAACACTTCATTTCTATAAAACTAGAAATTTTACGACATGTATTTTTGGTTTACTATCCGGTTTATGGTCAAAATGTGAATATCTCTTGTTTGATCTCTGTCACATCTAAATTAAAAAGCTCAACTGACACATTTAGGTCTAGTGTGGACATGGCCTGATTGACACTGAACTGTAAAACCTCTTTTATCTTTTACCTGGTGCTTCTTTCACAGGTGTGCTTTGTGTGTTTTGATTAAATTAAAACAAGCCAATGAAAACGTGTGCTGAGGGGCAAGGAGACCGTAATAATTCAAACCTTAATTTCACTGTGTTTTGTTCCTTTGTGTTTTTGTTTTCAGGCAGGGAAGAAACCGGTCCGTGCCGTGCTCTGGGTGTCTGCAGACGGACTTCGAGTTGTAGACGACAAAACAAAGGTAAAGTCTATCACAAGTATTATACCTGTCTATTAATTATGTAACTTTTGAGACTCCTTTACATGTTGCAGAGAAAATGTCTTAAGTATCCATTATTTTATTTTGTCAGCTTGTACTTTTTTACCTATAATATATACTTTAAAAACACCTATCCATGGGTTTCATAATGATACAAAATTAGGACCATTGTCGTAACAAATAATAATTAAAAACAACATATGATGTCTTTTGAATGGTAAAACATCCTGAAATGTTGCATTTAATAGAAGATGAAAAATGAGTAAGCACTGATTTATTTCTTTTTTTTCTTGCATATTTTCCAAATGATTCCTGCAATTGTTAAATGATCTAGTACTCTGAAAATGATTTACCTCTGTTTAAACTAGAACTCTTCCAGTATTCTGTTTTAGTCTGATTAATATTGTTAATGCTGATGGTGATAACAATCGAAATACGAGTTCTTTCTCTGCTGTGCCAATATGTACTCAGTGCACCTGCAGTAAAAAATATGATGCAAGCAAATAGTGTCACGTTTTATCTTGGAAGGACACCTGCTGGACAATCAGTGTTACTCCATGACATATGCAAACAAAAATTCAGGAGAGCTATTCAATAATTTTAAAACTTACTTGTGAATATGAGGGTCATGGTCGAAATCACAATTCTTGTATGCAATTATTTGTGAATTGTGAAACTTACAGAGAATTAGGAACTTGCCTCTGTTTTTTTCTTTTTCTTTTGAACATACATATAATTTAGAACTTGATTAGTTGTTTAGTTTTTTTACTGATGCAATAATTGGTGACCATCCATCATTCCAGGACTTGATCTTGGACCAGACGATAGAGAAGGTGTCTTTCTGCGCTCCAGATCGGAACTTTGAGAAGGCCTTTTCCTACATCTGCAGAGACGGCACCACGCGACGTTGGATCTGCCACTGCTTCATGGCCATCAAAGACTCTGTAAGAATATCACTGTAGCACAAACTATTTACTTTTAAAACTTCACGCTAAACACCAGTGATCAAAGTTGGAAAAAGAGTAATCCACTAAAATCCAAAAAACAATTTTCCCAACCATTTTGAACCAGTATCTCTAAAGCTGATCCTTGCCTTTCCTGGAATTTTCCTGAGTATGGCATTAAACTTACCCATTGCCAGAAAGGTGAATCCACCAGTTACAGCAAGAAAGCGTCTATCAGGTTTGTTGTTTTTTTTTACCATAAAAACACCTGTGATTGAATAAATAGGTAAGTTTAAAGCCATACTGTGGAACTTTCCTGGCAAAGCAATAACATTCATTTGAGAAAAGTAGTGCACCTTTAATTAACATTAAATTAGTTTCATCTATGTAATTACAGTGTGTAGTAATGTGTGTTTCTTTCCCAGGGTGAGCGTCTGAGTCATGCGGTCGGCTGTGCGTTCGCGGCCTGTTTGGAGCGAAAACAAAAGAGGGAGAAGGAGTGCGGAGTCACGGCAACATTCGATGCCAATAGAACGACCTTCACCCGGGAGGGGTCATTCAGAGTCACAACAGCAACGGAAGCAGCTGAGAGAGAGGAGGTGATGAGGCAACTTCAGGATGCTAAGAAAGGTCTGTGCAGTTCTTTGACCCCTTAGTGGTGGGCTATTAGATCCTGTTGTCAAGTTGGGATCAACACACAAACTCCACCCACAACTCAAATAGAGCAGCTAAATTGGGCAGTACCTAGAGGACTAACAAGTGAAAGAGGAGGAGAGACAGGGTCTGAGGTTGTAAGGAACTGTGTGATTGGTCTATCTAACAGGTATCTAGCACCCCTGTTTGTAATCAGGACAGTCTCTGGTGATATCACCAACTACAAGCAGTTGCAGTGGCCATACACACAGTAAATTTCTATAGTTTGCACTAAAGTTGCCAAAAAAATACTTCTCACAATAATAGTACAACTAAAAGTTTAAATCATAATATCTGTACTTCTAAATTTCTGTTGATTAAAGGTGCAACTTTTCTGGTGGAGGCCCATGAAACTTTTTTCTCCGTGGAGATGTTATTGCTTTGTCTGGAAAGTTTCACAGTATGGTATTAAATCTTTCTATCTCCATGGAGACTAACCCAGACCAAGTTACAGATCAGATCTTTGGAGAGGCAACTAGAATCACAGTCAGAATACCTCTTTTTCTAGGTATTTTTAAAACCGCTTCTAATTGAATAAATGTAAGATAGCGTAATGAAGTACTGTGAATTATTCCAGGCAGAGCAATGACATATCCATAGAAATATGCAGGTGATTAACTCCCAAACAAAAAGTTTCACAGTACATCTTTAAGACTCTTGTATTGCGATCCTAAAAATGCTCTGCTCTTTCCACAGACACAGACCCTAAAGTCAGTGTGAACTCCATCAGCAGTGGGACAAACTCCTCTGGGCCCCTTTCCGCAGGCTCCTCCTCCCCCTCTTCATCCCCGCCCCTTTCTGCGCCCGTCCTGGGACCTCAGGTGATCCCACGCCGCCACCCCACTCCTGAGGCTCTGGCCCGTCAAGGCTCCTTCAGAGGTTTCCCCACCCTGAGCCAGAAGACCTCCCCATTCAAACGGGGGCGGTCTCTGCGCATGAACGAACTGCCCTCCACACAGCAACGCAAATCTGACTTCTCTATAAACAACACAGGTGAGAGGCTACACCTGTCAATCAGGTATAATGATGTTTATGCAGAAGTTTATTATGAAGTCTAATATCTTTATACATACACATGTGTCTACATTATGACAACTCTAACGTGAAGGTGGCATCTTATAGGGAAACATCTTAACACTTAAATTAAAATACAGCATAGGATAGCTCGTGACCAGTGTTGGTGCTTCTAATTACTACTTTATTTCAAAATAATTTGATTATTGATTACTATAAGTTTAAAAAAAAAGGAAACATTCTATTATAGGATCTGATTTCAGGCAGAGGGGATTGCCACAGTCCTCCATAGTCCAATATTTGTGTTGTTTTGGTTCACAATCTTACACCATAAGAGGTGTAGTCAGTTTGACTATTTTAGGACCAACCACATTTTTAAATTACAAAATTTTCAATACATTTGTTTTTTCTTTTCTTTTTTTCTTAATCTTTTTGTGGACATTTTCAGATCCAGATTATGCAATCATTAAAGAATATACATATGTGCCAGTGTTCACTGCTTGTCATAGTGCTATGAGTTTATATCTTTCTGTCTCCCTTTCTTCTATCCTCAGTCCCCGAAGTGGAGGGAGAGAGCGACAGCATCAGCTCTCTGTGCACTCAGATCACCTCTGCGTTCAGTGGTCCTCCTGAAGACCCCTTCTCCTCTGCCCCCATGCCTAAACCTGCTTCCTCCCCACAGTCTCCTGTCGCCTCAGGTAACCACACACTTTACTCTTTCAAACTAACAATTCTGTTTAAAGCATTGTCAGTTGCATCTGAACTATAGAAGTCAACATTAACACAATAATAAGGTCTTATTAAGTTTTAACATGTGTTCACAATTGAGCTGGTTACGTCCTGTTTTCAGATGTGGGCTTTGGTCCTGTTCTAGTCCTTGTCTAGTCCAGGATTAGTTCTGGGTTTAGTCTTTGTTTAGTCCAGACGTTGTACCTTGAAATATCTTAATTTGTTCATTGGCTTTCTTAACTGAAAAAGTATGTTTATACAGAGTTTTTGGATGATTACAATTCCTTATTTGGAGACACTGTAAAACTGGCAGCAGTGTGCCAAGCAAGTTCACAATTTCCAACTAAATAAAGAGAGAAAAACGTAACAGCTTGCCTTTCTCTGCCAAATGTTGTCAGTAGCCAAGATTTCTGAGCAACAAACTTTAATCCATGCCTCACAGTTTGGAGAGGCTTTTTGTGTTATAATTAGCCTTTTAGAGTCTAATCTTAATTTTGTGTTTCTGCATGTTAAATACTCACTGAACTGCCTGACACTTTCTAAATAGTTGTCTGTGAACTTGAGGCTGTATTTAAGCAAAATTAACAGTTATATTTTGCATGTCTAACAAAATAACAACATGAGCGTCTCTATGTGTACAATAGTGAATGGCTCTGCTCCCGCCTTCTCCATGGCTGCTTCTGTTAACCCCCCTGCACTGCCCCCTGCTCTGCCCGCTCGGGACACTAACCCCTGGGCCAAGACCCCTGCCGTAGCCCCCACCGTCCCATTACAGTCAGGTAAGGAGCTCCAAGATGTGAGCTGTTAGGAACTAGTGTAAGGTTTCATATTAATTAAATTATTCTGTGATTTGGATACAGAAATATGACTGATATGTTTACTAGATTTGAACTTACCTCAAGCTTTTAACTCTTGGCATTATGCAATTATTTCTTATTCAAGATTTGTGAACCTTTCTTTCCTATTTAATCTATTTTTTTCCTAATCAGTTAAAGGAATTTTTATTGCTCAAAATCACTGGGCAATAATGTCCAACCAAACATCTATCTGTTTCATAATTGAAATTGGCTTTGAGCCTTTGAGACAGTTCGCTTGACATTAGCATTACTATTTTGATAAGCTTCTTTCTGCCTGATTTTGGTTTGTCTTTTAACTTCTTGCATTTGTTCCTGACAGGTGCAGCAGACTGGGCTTCCCCTGCACCTGTCATAGTGGTGCCCCCATCATCCTCTCCCGTCATGGCGTCCCACAAGCGCACGCCGTCAGAGGCAGACAGATGGCTGGAGGAAGTCACCAGATCTGTGCAAGCCCCTGCTCCTCACCCCATCATCCCCACAGTCCCACAGCCGAACCCCCTCATGCCCTCCGCCCCTCCTCCACCCTCTCAGCCCTTCATCGCCCCGGTCCAGATGCCAGCCGCGCCCGCTCCTCCTGTTGCCTTCATGTCCGCTTTGCCCCCCACGGTCCCGATGATACCACCACGACAGCCGGTCTTCAATGCCCCAGCTCCTGCCTCTTACCCCATGTCCAATGGGCTGTCCTTCCCCCAGCCCAGTGTCCCCGTTGTGGGTATTACCCCATCTCAAATGGTGGCTAATGTTTTTGGTTCAGCTACGCAAACCCAGCCCTTCCCAGCTCCCGTCATTCCACCTCAAGAAGTCCCGGTAATGAGTAACCCCAATGTTAGCCCGTTTATCAAGCCTCCGCAGCCCGTTTCAAACCAGCCTCAACCACCCAACGGCAGCGCCACATTCAATGGAGCAGACAATTGGGTGAATAAAACTCAAATTCCCCATTCTTCGCCGGCGATGCAGCCCACCGAACCACCGCAGGAAGACGCCTTTGAGGCTCAGTGGGCGGCGCTAGAGAGCAGGTCACGTCAGCGCACCTCCCCTTCTCCCACGAATCCATTTTCCACCGAGCTTCATAAAACTTTTGAGATCCAGCTCTGAGGACTGCAGATGGGAACTGAACAGCACTGTTGTAGTAAGAGTGATTTAAAAGTGACTGTATGTTTGGGAAAGTGAATGTGGTCCCTCTGATCCAGCGGACAAGCTAAAGCAGCAAAAAAGTTATGAGCTGAACCAATACAGGGAGAAATCTCAACAGATAAGGTGGGGGGGCTGAACCAAGACACAGCGCCCCTGCAGTTCATCTACATTGTCTTTAATGTTTTGTTTGTGTTGTGGAGCACAGTCGCCATTTCCCTGTGGATTATAATCACTCATCCACTGCCTTCGCTCAGCTCTCGGAACCCAGTGGGCGGGACAAATGTGGAGACCTCCCTCCAAATGACTGCAGCATCGAGACGAGGAGTTCTCAATAAAAAAAACTTCCCAATCAGAAGAATAGTGAGACAATGCCAAAATGTTTATTTTTATGCATTAAGTATATTTTAAATAGCTTTGGAATCTAACAGAAGAGTTGTAAGTAATCTTGCCAAAGGCGCAGGCTAGCTACAATGAGAAGTTTATGTGCGTGTAAACAAAAAAGACAGTATATATATTATACATAAATATAAATATATCTATAAAGAATCTATACTGTACACAGCTCACAGCAGTGCTAATTTTTAATGTGATGTAAAGAGATTTTGTGAAGGGACAGCTGCTTTACTTTTGTTTTGTTAGGTTTTTTAATATTTTAAGTTGAAAAGATATTACTGGCGTCTGCATCCTGTGATTGGGTGTGAAGCATCTCACTGTAAATAGGGTTTTGTTGCAGCAACAATCGGTGTAGACCATAGACTGTCTGTTATACAGTCTGTATATTATACAGTCTATGGTGTGGACCTAGCGATGGTGGCGGTGCCTGAATGGTGGCCTCATTTACCTGTGCAGAGTTTTTAGTATCACTACTTAACATTTTACTCTCAAACGCTCTACTTAATTTTCAGATTCACCTGTCTTTAAAGTAGTTGAATGTTTTATTTTGCACAAGCACTAAAGTAGATGAATTGACCTCACTTAAATTAGTTAGTTTTGGTGCATTCTGCGTTGGTGGCTACAATTCTGAAAAGCACCCAAAACTACAGAGACCCAACAAACTCATCTTCTTCTCCCTTCCTGGTTACTCTATGGTTTTATTTTTTTAATCAAGCCTGTGAATATGATCTATTCTCTGATCTATTTTTCCATTTTGTAATTATTTCATTACTTTATTCCACTTCTTTGGAGATCTATTGAAAAAAGATTGAATAAATTGATGGTGGTAGCGAAGTGTGTGTTGTCTTTCACTGCATAGGCTATTGCTATTTGGAAGATTGCATTAAACACTGATCCTACAACTACAGCAGTAATATATTAGTAATATATATTTAGTTTTCATATAGACTTTGAAGGTGCACTGCATAACTATTCTGGAGTGGGTACTCAACCTGTATTCAACTATGCAAGTGTTAAATATTTATTGCTGAAAAATATCTTAAACATTAACTCATACTGTGAGTGGGGTCGTCTCTCCACAGATTGAACCTGTAATTTGACTTGCAAGTCTCCATGGAAAATCTGACCCTGATTCTTCACAAGACAAATTACACAGTGTACCTTTAATGAGGCTACACTGTTTTGGGGGATGTATTTGGTGTATTGTGATTGCGATTAGGTTTGCCATCTGTTCAAAAACTGAGATTCTGTTCACAGTTCACAGGAACATTAACATTTGAGAGGAGACTGAAATATTAAATATAAACTGATTTTTTTTTTTTTTTTAAGGACAGTGATATTCTAAGATCTAAACTATTGCAGCCTTAGCGATTTGATAATTGCACCAACTCAAATTCTAATTTCGATTTGATTGTACTATGTGGTGCATGTTTAGATATGCAGTTTGAAATGTAAATTCCAGCTCGATTTTTGCTGAAGATATTTAGCAGAAAGCATAATCCATTAAACACACAAGCCTCCGACCACCAGAGGGCGCCCCGTTCGGAGGAGAATGCCGGGTGCAGCTGTGTGTTATAAATACAGGCCGGAAGACATGGAGCAGCCAGGACAAACAAGTGGTGTGATAAACCTGTGTGGTTTTGGATAATAACGCAAAGGTAAGATCGTAATTTCAGATCTAAAGATTTAAAATGACGTTAAGTTTGCAGCCCGAAGAAACCGTGCAGTTTAAGTCTTAGAGCTATGTTTTTAGCAGCTGAATTTGGTTGCTAATTTGCCTAATACCACTGTGCACATCTACAACAAGGACGCTGAAGACAAAAAAAAACAATATAAATTGTTTAATAAATTATGCATTAACGACAGCATCACCTACGAAAGTTTAGATTTTGAAATCTTAAATTAATATTACTCTTACGCTTATTTGAGACCGTCAAGACCTTTCAGACCCGATGACAGTGATGAATTAAATCGAGCAGCTAAATCGATGCAATCCTATCAGGCCATTGTTAATTGTTTTCCCATCAATCTTGACGGTATCTCGTAGACTAATTTTACTCACCTGTTCACGTTATTTCACCTTAACCACGTTGGCTACTTTAACTTCTTTGGCATTGTTTGTCGCTAATGGCTGAAATTGGCAACATTACGTAAAGCTGGGTCAATCAAGAAGAATTGGCCACTCGTGACATTCATCATATTTATTATCCTGACCAAAGCAATGTCTATCCAAAAAGTGATTTTCTACTCAACTGAAACACATAATCCTGTCAAATTCAGTGTGGTGTAATGAGAATGATTCACTTATACTTCATCCATTTCATTGCATAAATTCCTTGGCAAGTCTAGAATGAGGGATGTGTATTTTTAAAGAAAAGTATTGGAGAATTGTGTATTCTGGACAATTCCAGACAGCTGTATTATGGTACTCATTATTATTGGAAAAAAATGAAGGATACAACAGTTACTTATGTAAAATGTCTGAAGAATGCAAAAGAAAGCTCATTATGTTAATGAAGGGAGCAGTTTGTTTGTTCTTGTTTCTGTTGATACAACCGCACTGTTGTCAATATGGATGTTATTATGCTCAATTGTAAAAGAACATGACATTTTTACATATCCAAAATAAAACGATAAGATAATAAAGTATTCTTTCAACTTTACAACTTGCTTGATACGCATGGGAAATTACCTGGACACAGTAACTTGATGTAATCTCTCTTTTCACATTTCCTTTTCAGAGAAATGCTGTTCTTGTCCATGCTACAAATCAACACTAAAGTTTAATTCACACACTGACGCACAAAAGGTAAGCCCATAATTTAAACAAAAATATGCATGCGATTTGATAAATAGCATAGTTTTTGAAATGATGTTTCTTTTTGATAGCACTTTCTATTCTGCTGACAACCCTAAAAGCAGTCAGCATGTCTCATCGTGGAACCCTTACTGCGGTTGTGACCACAGTTTTGGGGGTAACTCTTGGGGGGCTGTTGGCGTGGAGAGTTTACCGCACTAAAAGAAGGAGGCTGCCTTTCAATCAGAAGGCGGCTAAACCTGTAGAACTGCCCCACTGTCCCACTAACACAGACTTGACTCCTGCGGAGGTCACTACATCTCCCAAATGTTTAGAAGAGGAAGTGAAGGCAGTGGAGTCCCAGCCCACCCTAGCGCCCCCCACAGTTTTGTTACCGTCGTGTGAACAGGTGTTATGTGTGAATCCGGTCACAGTGAGCTCAGAGGAGGAATGGGAGCAGCTGTGGTCCCCCTTTCAGGAGGAGCTGTCGGACTTCCCCGTGCTGGGATTGGACTGTGAATGGGTAAAGACCAACGGCGTAAGAAATTATCCCTGCATGAATCTAACCCACAAGGAAAAATCCACCTTGGATACACAAAATGTTTTTTCCCCAATAGGCTCTTTCTTTATAATGACAGCAGTTTTGCATCACTACAGGGGCCCCACATTTAATTACAGTGTCTTTATAGCATGGATTCATGGCACAACTATAATTTATCTTTTCTTTTTAAATTATTTTGTTTAACATGATCTCATACCGAAACACCCAACTGTTTTCTATTCCCTTTTCACGTATTTCACTTATAAATTGGAAGCTGAAATACATGAAAAGGGAAATGTACATTTAGCTTTAAATTATTAACTACTGTGGCAACAGTCCAACATTTTCATCACACTGATACACATGGATACATTTCTTATTTCATCTCTAGTCTGAGTTCTGTTCCTTTTTAATTTGAAAACTACCAATAATTCAGTCAATATTAAGTAAAACATTGAGTAAATATGAGTGTATATTAAGTGGGAAAACATTTTTAAGTTGGATTTTTCCTTCCTAAATTTTACTAACCTTAATTCTTCATATTTTCTTTGTTGAGACAGCAACCCTTCTGTTTTTGTTGCAGGTTTCAGTGAAGGGCAAAGCATCGGCCGTGTCCCTCCTGCAGATGGCGTCGTACTCTGGTCGGTGCATTCTGGTGAAACTGCTCCACTTTCGAAACTCTCAGCAGCCCCTCCCCCTCGGCCTGATCCAAGTGCTTCGGGACCCTCATATCCTTAAAGTCGGAGTGGGATGTTACGAAGATGGCAAGCGGCTAACACGAGACTACGGTCTGTCGCTAACGTGTACGGTCGACCTTCGTTACCTTGCCCTGAGACAGAAGTGAGCACTCAGTTCTTATCATGGGATAGAAAATGACAAAAATTATACTTAGGGTGCATTGATGATGTGTTTTTGTTATTTTCAGGAAGGCTACAGTGAACAATGGTCTGAGCCTGAAGTCTCTGGCTGCAGATCTGTTGGATGTAACTCTAGACAAGTCTCTAGAGCTTCGCTGCAGCGACTGGGAGGCAGACCACCTCACACCAGAGCAGGTTTATCTGATTTTAGACATAATTTGTATCTGTAATTATGAAACAAAATTATTGTTCATCATGCATGAGTCCAGGAATGTTTTTGATTTGCTGCAAGTGAAATTTATTTTAATATGTAATGTTAAATAAACACTTTCTTATCTCGAAAGAAGAGAAAACATGCAGATGATGTTGAAATTTTTTCAATAAATATTTTGTTCGTTGGCCCATGACTTGGTCCCAGTTTTTAATTTTGGCCCTCTGTGAATTTGAGTTTGACACCTCTTCAGTATGTCATTATCCTTGTTGATCTCTACAGAGACAGCAGATAACGCCATAGCTACAAATTACATGTCAGATCTGTGGAGTTGAGCCCACTCACAGTAAGAATGGAGACAAGCAGATGGCTGTCCCTCCACCAGAAAGCTTACAAGTGTAACTTTATACTAAATGTTTGATATTTGTTTAAACCCCTTTCAGATGTGTTACGCTGCCAGAGATGCACAGGTCTCCATCGCACTCTTCTTCTGCCTCCTCGGTCTTCAGTCTGAGGGGGGTCCAGTCTCGCCCAGTGGGAGCTCTTATGCAGAGCTGGTGTCCCGCTGCCAGGGACTGGTGGACGTCCCGTTCCGAGGCCGAGGGGATGGAGAGGACAAACCTGTCGACGGAGAGCGGAAGCGGAAAACCATTCGGAAACCCACAGCCTTCATAAGCCCAGAGTCTGGAGATCAACAAGTCCCAGACCCTCGACGCAATAACAAGAGGAAACCACTGGGAGTAGGCTACTCTGCCAGGTATTTACAAATTAGGCCCTACTTTTTATGAGTTTTTTTGTCTAATCTTTTAAATATATCTGAAGAATAAAATGTCCACTTGTGCAGATTGTGTTAGTGTTTCCTGTAAACTGGTTTGTGAAGATAGAAATGTAGAATATTTGGACGAGATAAAAAGACGTAAAAATAAGATCATCAGTTTGGACTGAAAAATTGATGAACTGACTCTGCAGGGTGATTTAAATATTGGTATTCTGTTGTACATGTTTGGCTCTTTGCTACTTTTATTCATTTTATTCTATTTTATTTTATGTGAAGTTAAGTATATCCTTTTTATATTTCTGGTTTCAGGAAGTCCCCTCTGTATGATAACTGCTTCCTGCATGCTCCGGATGGACAGCCGCTGTGCACCTGTGACAAGAAGAAAGCCAAATGGTACCTGGACAAAGGGATCGGAGGTGGGCTCTGACATGAGACTTCTCATGACACTTTCTCTACTGTAGTGGTATTGATCTTAATCTGTGTCTGTCTCTCCTGTAGTTCTGGTGAGTGAAAACCCCTTCATAGTGAGGCTACTGTTTGAGCCGTCAGGACGTCCTGACTCACAGCAGGACTACTACCTGACTGCCAAGGAGAATCTCTGTGTGGTCTGTGGAAAAGCAGACTCCTACATTAGGTAAGGCCTTACTTTATTTTTCAATTTTTTTTATTTTATTTTATCAATAGTTTCCTGTTATTTTTACAGATTATATTTGATTTTTACCTTGGCTCCAAACTCTTTGTACACCTTTAACTAAAATAATAAAAGTAACAACAAAAGGCATGGGAAGAAACTCTGTCAAATAAAGTCTGGACTAGACCATCTTTTAGGGTTAAAGGGTCCCTAATGAAAGCTATGGTTTAAAATCATTTGGAATCATTTTCGAACAGTTATCAACCCAAATGTTTCTGCTTATATTGTGTCTGTTCTTCTGAACTGAAAATTTTAATGAAATTCAAATAAATGTGTAACTATATTTAAAAGCACAGTTAGTGCGTTGAAAAACTCCTGTGTGCTGGTTGTTGTAGGAAGAACATAGTGCCGCACGAGTACAGGCGACATTTCCCTACCGAGATGAAGGACCATAACTCCCACGACATCCTGCTGCTGTGCACGAGCTGTCACGCCGCCTCCAACGTGCACGATGGCTTCCTAAAGCAGCAGCTGGCCGATGAATTCTCCGCCCCCCAGGGCTGTGAGGAGGGGGTCCGGCTCCATGAGGACACGGACCGTCGCAAGGTCCGATCTGCTGCCCGGGCTCTACTTAGCGCTGGGGATGGTCTGCCTGAGTCCAGGAGGGTGGAGCTAGAGGAGATGATCAAGAACTACCTGAACATGAATCACGATGAACCACTGACTGTAGAGACTGTCAACCAGGCCGCCAGTCTGGAGACCAGGTGAGGGTTTGACGTGAGGGCAGATAATTTTTACTGTATTTGAGAAGGAGGATTGTTTTGGAGGAAATCCTTCATAGAGGTGTCTCAGGGTGGATTGCCTAATTGTCTTTTTAATGTATAAGTGCATTGTGCAACTTTTCTGGTGAAGGGTTTGTCAGCCATCAGCCTATGCATCTCAAGCAATACAACTATAGACTGCCTTTCCACAGATATGACCTATAATGTAATCCCATTCACAAAGAGAATCAGTTTTTGAGCAATAGAAATGCCCATAATGAATAAACGTGAGATAGATGTGACGGATCCTCCACCAAAAAAGTTGCACCATTAATATACAAAAATGTTGCATTAACAAAATTGCTATGTTCATTTAATGAATTTCAGATTGAGAATCTAAGATTTAGAGAAGTTGGCTTGAAAGGGACAGTTCATACTTTTGCAACTGTAAACAAAACATGTATGCTGCTAACTGTAAAATATGTATACCCTGGTTTTATGGAAAACGTTTTGTTTTTACAGAACACTTGTCTTTCTGTCCCAACCCAGTATCTCCCTGCAGTATCTTTTAAAAAAATATTTTAACTTTTTCAATCTTAAAATTATACATAACTAAAACAAAAACTAAAACAAAACAAAACAAAAAAACCCTCCCACAACCCACCCCTCTCTCCACACTCACCAGACGCAAAACTACACAACACAAAAAGCAAACATGGGCATACAAACATTAACAGTTAGTCTCCCTGCAGGATCTTTAATGAAGCGTACATCCCCCATGGTCTGAAGGTGGTCCGGGCTCACGCAGAGCAGGGTCTGAGGGGCCTGATGGAGCTGGAGCGGCGCTGGCGGCAACACTTCCTCAGTAGCATGAGACCCAAGCACCTGCCCCCCCCTCTGGTCTGTGGATCACAACCACAGCAAGTTCCTGCGTAAATATGGAGCCGATATCCCCATCAAACTCAACTGAGAGTCTGCTCATTTAAACCCAGGACCTACAAAATGGACCTAACAAGACTGAGAGGGCTATGAACCACCTGTCACAAACCTGGACCTCAATATGAGACTGTTGGACCACTAAAAATAATGTGAGAAGCAGTGATGCATTTCTGCTTTAATGGACTAAAATCTGTGTCGAATTTGAAGTTGGAACTCTTGACACTTTTTTATGAACACTAAAATTATTTATAAAAAAAAGTATTTGATGTAATTTAATACTGCCTTTTTTAAATATAAGCTGCTACCTGCTTGGACTTCCCTTTTCCCTTAACTTCTGGACTTAAGCGCAGGTCTGCAGCTGGAAAGATCAAATCATTTGCTTAGTTTGCAGATATAAGGTTGTTTCTAATTGCCTTTTAATGAAGTGCTCCCCCTGCTGGTGTGATTTGTAAGTTTTATGGATGGCTTGTCACCTCAGTGCTGAACTCATTTTTGCTCTATTCCACTAAAAGATGTGCTCTGGTCTTTTGCTCTTTCTTCATTGTAAGCTATCCATGCAGTTCTTTTTACAGGGAGAGACTGACACTGAAGTTGGCTTGTATCATTGACCACATAAGTCCCATTGCCTGCACCCCTATTCTTATGGGATCTCCTATGGCTCATGTTTTAATGTGCCTCTTAAACCCCATAACTAAGGGAGTACAAAGCAGTGGGACCCTCTTGTTTCAGTAATCGCTTTCAATGCAATTTTGTCTTAAAATGTAAAAAAACAAAAACAAAAAAAAACAACAAAGCTGTAAATTCAATATTTAAGATGCCAACTTTGTGGTTTTGAAAATGCATAACTTTGCCGGGCTGCATTTCCTTGTGATCATTCAAATTGTACTACTGTGAATCGCTGCCCTGTTCATTTGTCTGAACTAGAGCAGTTTTGTTTATAAACGAATGATTTGAAAATAATAAAGTCATGTTTGTAATATTCCTGGGAGGCTCAGGTCTGTTTTGTAAGTGTTTTTCGCGGTAATAGATTTCTGACAGTTCAAGGCACGCTAAGTAAAACCACCTCCCTGTATTTTATAACAAGGCGAGTCACAGGTTATTTTTGTGTTGTTTGGAAGTTAATTTGACAAATTGCTTCTTCAACAGCGGGATTCACAATTTTCACAAACAATTGGGTCTGATTCAGTGATGGTTAAACTGATCTGAAATTACTTGCTTTCATGTTTTGCCATTATCTTATGTAGATGAGTAGGAAATATTCAGTATAGGGCCTCTAACTATTTTAGTAGCCAACTCGTCTTTAATTATTTTTCCAATTACTCTGCTTGATTATTTCTATTGCACACTGAGACCAAACATTCTGGTTAATGGTCACATTTTCATATAGCACTTTTCCACCTTCAAGGCAATCGCTTTGCTTTACATCAAGTAACTACTCACTCATTCACCCACTCCAACAGTGTACGCAGACACTGGGGGCAAGGAGGGTTAAGTGTCTTGCCCAAGGGCACAATGACAGCTCCATCTTTAGGAGCTGGAATTGCACTGCTAACCTGTGGGTCAGTGGATCTGACCACTCAATCAGGGGTGTTTATGTTGAGTGCGGGATTCAAATTGATAACCTTTGGATCAGTGGATAAGCGCAATTGAACTCTGGTGACTGAAGGCTTTTAGTCTGTGTAGTCCAAATGATAATTATTTTTATAGTTAACTAGTTATGATCAGCTGCTTAATCGTTGTAGCCCTACTTCAGTGTAGGTTGTTTGAATAAGACTCTAACATTGGTAATGACTTTACTCTGGAGTGGTAAAAAGACACAATACTTTCTATAAAATAAAATGCAATGATTCAGGTTATTTTTATGTTTTATTTCTTACAAAATCACAGTTTAATAAATAGTCTGTAAAAATGAGTACAAAAGCGGTTTCTTAACATTTCATATACTGTATGAATCACTCGTGACTTCAGGAGTCTTAAGTCGGGTTATTGTCAGGAATGACATTATTTTTATTACAATCTAGTTCTGCTGGATTAAGGCCTCTTGATTTTGGCATCGAACAATCTGTCAGTCAAATGTTTGAAATTAGTGAGAGCTCCCCTGGTTTCACAGTTCATTCAGTAACACAAGAATAAATAATAAATAGACAAATAAATAAATGGCTCAACATGCAGATGCAACAATCGCTTGTGTCCTTCACTGTGCTCAACACTTGGACAATGACCACAATGGCACATGAGGCCTCCACTAAAGGAGACATCTGTCACCTCAAAGACTTTTAGAGACTTTGGGAAAATATAAATAAATACAGTGGTGGTCAAAATCATTACAATTACAACTCAAAGGTGTGCTGTGTAACTTTGGGTGATCTGTCACCATCTTCTCTCCATGGAGAGAGTTGCCTGTTTATCTCTATGGAGACAGCAGGTGACGCCACAGGGCCAAGTTACATGTTAAATCTATGAAGAAGTGAGCCCACTCATAGTGTGAATTTTGAAGTCAATATAAAAACATGTTATTGAGTAAATGCAAGATGTACTGTATATGTTTAATGGGACATTTCAGATAAAGCAATATCTCCATGGAGACAAGGGGGTGAAAGACCCTGCACCAGAAAAGTTACACATTGCACCTTCAACTTTTATTATTTTTGTAAAATCTTGGTTCTTGGAAGTCTGGCCAAGCTGTTAGGAGGAACGTTGTGATCTTGAGCTTCAATCTTGGGCCGGACAAGATACATATTGGGAAACACGAGAACCTGACTTTATGACACCATCAACAAAATAGCTGCTCATTTAAGATCCATGAAATCTTCTAATTTGGACCACCATTTGAATAAATCTGTATTTTGAAAACTTAAAATGGGGGTCCCCTTTTGGAGAAGTTGAGTGTAGAAATGACACTCTGACATCTTTACTGCATTACAGCGACCTCCATAGGACAGAAGTACTTTGAGATTCATGTATTAAATCCTATGTAGTAAAAGTACACGTTCCCATGACTACTACAGAGGTCCTGACACGACATTACTGCATATTAAACGCCTTCATTCCAACCAAAGACATTTTCACATAGGAAACATAATGCATTGCAACACATAGGAAGGCTTGTTTGATCATTAATGGTCAGCTTACATGTACATCAACATTTGTGTAAATCCCATTCACTTTTAAAGGGACTGAATCATTATAAGGCATTTTCAATTTTTAATCACGCAAAATATCCTAAATTTGCAGTCCGTTTCTACACAACTAATTCTTGCTGCAAATGTGAATTTATAATATTTACTTTTAAAGGGATAGGCCAGTATTTGCATTAATTACAATTACATTTAAAAATCTTTCACTACAATATACTTTATGTGTTTGGAAAATTCTGATTAAAGGTGCCATATTACGCAAAGTTGATTTCTGTAAGCTTTAAGCCATTATAATGCTGTTACTTCATCAAAACATATCTGGAGTTGGGTTTTGTTTAATTCATTCAGCCTAAATATGCAGAGTTTGTGAGTTAAACATGTGTGAATGAAATAAAACACAACTCCAGGTATGTTTGTGATGAGGAAACATTATAATATAGATCAGAAAATAAACTGTAAGAAAGTAATATGGGCCCTTTAATCTGTATTATATTCCTATGCTACTATATTTGTTCTACTTTCCTGTTGCAACACTAAAATTGTACTATTGGGCTTTTAACTAATTGACTAATTAAAAGTGATATGCAAAAAGATGGGCACAATTTGGTTACATAATTTTGTAAAATCATTAAGTGCTTTAATTCTAAACACTGCACTATCCCTTTAAAGGTTATAAGCTTTTCACACAGTTAATGGGAGATATGGTTCAAACGATATGAACTTTACACCAACTAAAAGATTGTCACATGATTTGAAAATGAATTAGAAATCACTGTTAGTGTGGTAACTGACAGAACGACCATTGAACTAAACAGGACTAAACTGAATTCATTTTTTGGTCAAGGCTCTTTGATGCTGAAGAGGCTTAATATTTTGAGTCACACATGAAAATAAAATAAAAGAAATCATATGTTTTGGTGCAGGACATTGGTAAAGTCACTAAAAGAGCCCCAAATGTGATTTTCATTATAATTTAAGTCTGTACATTATATAATGATAATCATGGTTGCTATGGATGGTCCAGGCCTAAACTTGCTCTTGGAAAATCAGACCTATATAGTTGACTACTTTCTCTACTATTAAGTCACATTTTATCATAAATTACTTTAAAGTATGAGATATATTTGAAAATACTGCTATGCTACACAATCATAATAAGATCTAATTGTGTGCCAGGCTGGCACCACCTAGTGCCTCCGCTCAATTACATTTCTTTCCAGCGACTAGGTCAGGAATCAGAATACACTAGATGGTTTGCAAGAATCCCGGAAGTTGTAGACCGCGCACTGGCCAATCAGCGAAGAGCTGTGAAGCCATGAACTCAAGCACCTGTTGGTGTCCCTTATGTGGTACAGCACAACATTAAACAAACCGGTCAAGATGGATTTCCGAGACTCCTGAGATTGAGGATTTAAAGCCAGAACAAAGAGAATGTTTGGTGAATTTTAAGAAGGCGAAAGCGGCTAATTGTTGCCTTCATTCAAATAATGGAAAATATTGAAAACCTATTTCTATCCAAATTTTTAGGCTTGGACCAATGCAACAACCCTACTCTATACCGAGCAGAGGGAAATATTATGTCTGGGTCTGATACCTGCTTATTTCTCTAAGATGTGATTTCATTGCTTTGAATGTTCCACAGTATGGCATTAAACATATGTACAATATCTATGTGGGCAGTAGGAGATATCAAGGCCTAGTTACAGATCATGTCTGGGGAGAGGTCACCCCGTACCCACTAACATTGCTTGTAGAGAAGGATTCATCAGTGGTCATCTGGACTGGACCATTTTCAATTGGTATTATTTGGTCTGAATCCAGCACCATCACTTGAAACTGGCTTCTGGATGGGAGGAAAAACAAGAGTCCACATGATCACCTTCTCTACACTGAATCACTCCTGGACAAATTAAGGATTACATCGTCTCACTAACTATGCTTGTATATAGTATGTTTTCAGCAATCATGTAATAAAAAAAGTTAATGTCGTACTAAGGAATATTCCAAGTGAGGCAATAACATCTCCATGGATAAAAGTAGGTGGCAAACCCTCCACCAGAAAAGTTACATAGTGCTTTCAGCCATGTTAGAATGTTGTTACCTCATCAAAAACATACCCAGAGTTGTGTTTTGTTTCATTCACACATGTTCACACAACTCCAAAGCTCCAAAATGCTCTGTTCCACCTTGTGATGTCATGAAGCGGTAGATTTCAAGATAACAGCTGCCTTTTACCTTTTGTTCAGTAGAGACTGTCAATTCAAGGGCTGAAATCAAGCAAATTATTTTAGTGAACATGAATGGAGTTTAAAAACACAGTGGAGCTGTATTACCACATGACATCACAAGGTGGAACAATGTTTTATTGAGAGAAGAACCTAAAATATGCAGAATTTGTGTGTTAAACTTGTGCAAATGAAACAAAACACAACTCTGGGTATGTTTGTGATGAGGAAACATTATAACATAGATCAGAAAATAGTATAATGTTATAGCATAATAAAGTTTGGTAACACATTTCTTGGGCTCTTTCAGGCTCATGACACCAAGTCCGTCAAAACAACTACATTTAGGCTTTCTTCAACAAGTGCTTCGTGTGGATATACCGAGCGATATACCAAGCTACCCAACATCTCTCCGTCTCACTGTCTCATTATTGCTTACACATAAAACAGAATAGTTCACAGGCTTGAATGTAGTGATAAAAAACATCTAAAAAGACATTTACTTTGTTATTATTATTCCTTTGTGCCCCCGGTCTGGTTTAACACGTTTTGGGGAAGAGACGCGACATGGATATTTGCTGGTGTATTCAGGATGAAGTAAGTCACATTTTCTTTGGAGTATCATTCGTTAAACCTAAGGAAAGACTAAGGCAGTATTCATGTGGTGCTCAGAAACTGGGCATATTTGCAGTACTTATAGGTCCACTGTGTAACTTTTCGGATGGGGGTCCATCACCTTCTTATTTCTATGTATAAGTCATTGCTTTGCTTAGAATGTTCCACAGTATGACAGCTCTGCCTTACATTGATTTAATTACAGTCGACTTTATTGCTCAGGCATTGTGACTGTGAGCGGGGTTGCCTCTTCACAGATATGACCTGTAACTTGGTCTGGTTTAGTCTCCATGAAGATAGAAAGGTTTGATGCCATATTGTGAAACATTTCAGACAAAGCAATAACATCTCCGTTGAGACAAGCATTTGACAAACCCATCACCTGAAAAGTTGCACAATGTACCTTTAAATAATGTGTACAAGTGATTGCAATCTTGATGTTACTTATAATAATACAAATTGAATTATTCAGTTGTTGCCAACACAAGATATTGGATTCTAATCAAATAGTGATCTAACTGCTTCAAATCACCCTGGGGCTTTTTACTGGAAGAGTTTCTACAGTAACCGATCCCCTCACTTTGGAGGAATAAATCGGTCTATTTGAGATGTTAAGTGGCACTAACTCAAATTTCTCTTGCTTTAATAATTTAATTAATATTGTATGCCATATGTAGTTCAATCATCTGCTTGCCCGGTGTATTAATACTTTGCAGTAAGATCATGCTGGGGGTGTTCTACATGTACAGTATCTCTAATGGTTACCATATTTTCAGACTATAAGTTTTTTTTTTTTTTACAATTAGGGTGTTTCTGCGACTTGAACTCCAGTGTGACTTATATATTAAAATTTTCACACTGACAACCACGAGAGCGTGCTCTAGGTTTGTGTGTCAGTATCTGCTGCTCCTACTTTTGTACCATTGTCACTCTACTGCACATGTCTCCTGCAGAAAGAGCTGATGTCCTGTCTGTATCATGCCAGACTTCTATACCACTGAAAATTAAAAATTTAAGTGACTTCAGTGACACCCGAAACCATCCTGTGGGGATTCAGAAAAGCTGGAATAATTCTAACTGATGCCGAGTCTGACGCATAGATCTATTAAAATGATGACGAAACTATGCAAATATCTGACGACAGGGATGCTGAAGAGGAAGCGGTGCTCCATTTACCTCCAGAGGTTGTGGAGTTGCTCAGAAGTGACACTGAGGATGAAGAATTCAATGGATTTAGTGATTTGGAGTGAGATCGAGAGTTTGGTAAACTTGTTCTATTGTTTATGTTATAGTTATCTGAAGAACTGTTCATATGTGATGTTAACAGTCTGTTGTTCTCTGTTCTATTGTTATTACTATAACTTGTCTTTCAAGATGAAATGGTTCCTGGTTTCTGATTTTTAAAAAATAAATTTCCCCCCAAAAGTGCGACATATATATGTTTTTTTCATCTTCATTACGCATTTTGCGGCTGGTGCGATATAAGTGACTTATAGTCTGAAAAATATGGTAAATATTTAGGAGTTACCATGGTGACACAATGTATACTTTAAAATTGATTTAAATAACAGAAGTCATCTCGTCTGCTGTAGTTTCAGCTAAATTAGCTCTTTATGGTCAGATTGTGTTAAAATAAACCTCAAATTAAAGTCTGCCATAGCTGAAGACAGAGCAGAGCCTACAGTTAGCATCAAACCCCCAGGGAATGTTGACGACATCAGCTGCAAAGTATCAATTTAACTCCACCAGTAATTTCTCAAACCATCATTTAAATACACTGTGTCTCCCCTCTTTCATATATTGTTTCTACTCCACTGTCCCTTTGCTCTCCTCAGCATTAGCTTGAGTGAGCAGCAAAACCACCAGCCTCCCCAACCATTCTATCTCCTCTTCTTGTACTATTGGACTTGAACTGAATTACTATTTAAGTAGTGCTATAAATAACTAAAGTTTGTGAGATTAAAGGATATTATCAGAGAGAAAAACAAATTAACCCATCTGATAAAATACATTTGAGCACCACATGAAGGCAGCGCAGAGGGAGCCTCTGGTAGTGAGCTCCCAAAACAGGATGCGATATTTCAAATAAGCACTCTTCATCTTTTCTTCACACACATTCACACTCACTCCATCAAAAAATTGGCACAGATTATCAAAATAAATACCCTGGAAGCTTGGCACTATGCAAAAAATGAAGATTCACATTTGGAAAGAAATCTTATAAAAACTATTGAATAATCTCTACTCCATGTGGTCCGCACTATTACTTATATACTATTTGCTGATGACGCTGTGTTGGAAAACCTCCGGATGACTTTACTACCACTGAAACAATAGATTTCCTATTCAAATAGACTTTTATGTCCACAAACGTACATCAAAAGAAGTATCTAACAACTATGTGGCTAAGGATAGTGCTGTTGTCTGCATCTCTATAGTGCCTTTTGAATTTCATACCTTCTTCTTTTAAAGTGGTCTGCCAGTCTGTCCCATTCAGAGATGCCCCTCCAAAATGCTGGCCACTGCCTGGTCCAATGAGGGGGCGGAGGAAGCCCTACTTTGGGCCGTAGAGGGGCCTTGGAGCCTCTGTAGCTCCAAAATGCTATCTATAGCGCTCTGAAGGTGTTCACTAAGCATGTTATCCTCTTGTATAGGTGTGGGATGGTCCGGTGATGTATCCAAGTGATAACATTTTAATTTGGGAGCTCTTACTTCTCTGTTGTCTTTTATAGAGGTTTTAATTTTGAAATCGGGAGGTGGGACTTCCTCTGTAGACAGGTTCCCATTGGATATGGGTTGCAGTGCTTTGTTGGGGGTTGGACAGTGACGCCCGCTCCCATTGGTCAGTTGCCCCGCGTGGTTCCTTTTCAGCCCAGGGTCACAGGCTGAGTTGTGGACCACTTTCCTAGATCCAGATTCATGTTTGATGGTGAGACGGAGACCACCGCGGGAGCTAGAGCGGTATGTCCGAAGTCCAGGGGGGCGGTCCGAAAGTCTGGTCCATGAGGGGGGCGAGGGGGGGCTGTCGCTGGAGGAGGAGTGTGGAGGAGGGGGAGAGGGGGGAGAGGGAGGAGAGGGGGGAGAGGGAGGGGCCTGGGATGGGCCTGAGGGAGAAGCTTCATCTGGGGAAGACGATGATGAGGGTAAAGCTGTCATCACAGACTCTGAACACAAAAGAGACAAATGCATTGTTATATTTTCACACTCTGAAATATTGGCAGAGACACAAGACTCAGGAATTTACAGTGTAAATGTTCTATATTACACAAAATGGATCCTTGTGAGCTTTAAGCCATGTTAGACTGCCATTGCCTCCTCAAAAACATACCTTTGTGTCTACTTTCAATAACTTTACATAAAGTCAAATATGATAGGATGATACATTGTGGATATTGATATTCCCACAGGCCCATAGGCTAAACTTACTTTTTTGCATGTTATGGTGAATACAATGAATCCCCCAGGCTTCATTGTATTATTTTAGACTGTTTATGTGTATTGTATTCCTCATCGGTTACGTGCTCCTTATTCTGCTCTGTTCAAGCTTTGATTTTGCAGTGGTTAAAATGTTAGCTTCATAGGGCAATGCATGTGACCTTGAGCAGACATCAAAGATTAACACATTTTTTGACAGCCTGCTCCATGAAAAATATAAAAAAAGAAAACATGCATTTTTTTTTCCATAGACCATAAGCATTAGAGACATAATATAACAACAATAAGAACCTGAAAACCTAAATAGCTGAGTGGGAAAAATTGTTCCCTGGTTTTGGGGCTCCTGACCTGTCTCTCGGCGTGTTCTCCGTCTGTCTTCTGCCAAAGTGAAGCGCTCAGCCTGAAGGAAGAGTCTCTCCAGCATCACCATCTCCGCTGACGGACTGTCCTGCTGTGGAGACAGCAAATACATGAGTCATACTTTGTTTAGTTTTATTGATTTCATTGATTTATTTATTCTTATTCCAGTCTATTTTAAGGTTTTATTTATTTTTTGTTTTTTACTCTGTTGTTTTTATTGTTTTTATTGTATTAGAGGAGCACTATGTAACTTTTGTGTTGAGGGTCCATCACCTGCTTGTTTTTATGGGTATGTCACAGCTCGTGGCATTAAACTAATCTATCGCTATGGAGACAAGCAGGTGAAGCCACCAGGCCAAGGAACAGTTCTTTTTTCCAAGGTATTTTTCACAGCCAATAAACATCTGTAACTTTGAAACCTCCAAAAGAAAAGTGCACCTTTAATTATTGCTGGTGTTAAAAGCTGACTATTCCCATGTACATTGTTTTACATACCAGGGCTTCTCTGAGCAGTAGCTGCCTGTATTTGTTGACCATGTCCTTGGTCCGCTTCAGCAGGAATCCAGACACAGTGTCAAACTCCTGGTCCACTGTGGGATCAAACGCATATTTAATAAAAAAATAACATTAATATTGTTTTCATTGTTGCATTACAGTAGACACAGACCCATACTGAAGTGGTCCTGGGTGGGCAGGGGTCCGGCACAGGTGTGGTAGGGCAGCAAACCCTTCACTGCATCCTGTAGAGAGGAGAAGGCCGAGCGGCTGCTGGGTCTCTGAACAGCTGTATGATCTGAACAGAGCTGTTGCTGGAACCTGACAAACAAAACAATACATTATAAGTAATTTAGTGTTAATTCATTCACTTTACATTTTCGGTCTGCAAGAACCACAGGCAATAGTATCAGTGAGACTATTTAGGGTTATTTAAGCTGCACTTTGTAACTTTTCTACCGTAGAGTACGCCACCTGTTTGTCTCCATGGAGATGTGGAGATGGACACAGTATGAAATTTAATTTAGCTAACCCCATGGACACTAGTAGGTAGTGCCACCAGGACACCAAGTTACAGGTCAGATCTGTGAAGAGGTGTCCTTGTTCACTGTATGAAGGCATATTTTTCAGGGTATCTTTGAGAAAGAACACTTCTAGTGAAAAGTGACATAGAGTACATTTAAAATATAAATTGAGTAGTATACATGGCTTATTAATGTTAAAGTATCATAACAAAGATAAGAAAGTACACTGTGCTCCTGTCACAACAGATTTGACCACAAAATACCAAATCTGACTTCTAGTTCGCCAGGGGCCTATTTCTTTATTTTGTGTTATTTTGTGTCGTGTAAACTCTTTGGATAAACAAAACTCACACTTGTTTTACTGTAAACATTAGGTGTGTGCTAAGACAGTTCCTAACAACTTTATCTTAGAGATTGCAAAAGACCTTAAGGGCAGATTTCAAGCCTACTTGTCTGGGATAGCTGTACTTAATCCAGATAAGTTTTGGTAAATAAAGTACATTACCTTTCTACTCAGAGCTTAATAAAAACCTTAACAGTTTAATCCTGGAGGGGACATACTAATGAGAGTTTGGCACACAAGGTATTTAGCTATAGCTCCTGGCATGTCTGTAATCCTGGTGTAAAAATGGTACTTGTATCATTTGGATAATAGTGAGTACCTGTGCCGGCGTTGTGCTGGTGTGAGCTGCTCCACAACAATGGCCAACTACAGTAAGAAAACACAACAGGACATGATGAGAGGATGATATACAAACAAATGTATCTAAGAGCACTCAAAACATGAAATGCTAATCCCTCGTTGGCCCCCAAATTACTCAGATAAAACACAATAGGATATAAAGCTTTGTATGGTAAGTACTAGAGATGCACAAAATCACTGATTATATGAGCGAAAGAAAAAATTCAATTCTGCTTCTTCAGTTCTGAAAAACTGAAGAAGCTGTTTTGATGAGCTGTGAAACGATTTCAATCAAAAAACTTTTGTCCAGTTGACAGAATTGAATTTCTCCTTTTGCTATGGATTCTCCCTGGATGACCGAGAGATTTCACGAACAACTGATATATGAGAAGAATATTTAGTATTACAATAATGTGATATTTGAAATTTTTGAGAACTTGTGAGATTTTTTAAAGTCAAAATCAAGACAAAAACAAAAGAAAAAAATCTACCGAGGCTAAACCAAAATCAAAATCAGACCAAACAAATTGTCTAGATTGAACTGAAACATGGCTTCTAAATTGTCTCTTTCTCTCTCTATATATATATATATATATTATATTATATTATATATATATTTTAGAGGTTATGATTAAATTGTGGCCTTAAAAATCTAAATGATCACTTAACCAAGCCAGTATAGTACAGTTACAGCTACCCTGTGTTACCTTAGTATCTTGCTGCTGGTTGGGTTGCCCCGCCTGGTTATTGGCAAGCTCTGTGTGGGGGGAGGATCTGTGCCCTGGGACACTGGGAGCTGCAGGAGAGGGGACACTGAAGGCTTTACTCTCCAGGACCAAGGCAGCAGTCGGCTCTGAAACGCACAGTGGTACAGATGTAGATTACCGTCTCATATGTCATCATAAAGATTTAATCAGTGATGGCTGTAATGAGCTGAGTGACAGATGTGATCACCAGAGGAATGGATGACATAATTACAATTAAAGGTAATTTAGGTGGAATAATTGAACTAGTACAGATTTATTCAAGTGTCATTGTGCGTGCCAAATGGGAGGAAATGATAACTAGTTTGTGGGTGTGGAGGCTGGTGCTTAGAGAATGATAGACTGAAAAATGCAGTTACAATCCTGTACAGCCCAATTACATTTGAGTGGTAAATAAATGTTTAAATATGACATAAACACCCTGCCATGTTAATTGAGTCTACAAATTGTGTTTCCATATGTGGGCAGGCTGGTTCAGAGGTCCTGACAAGTCTCAAATCATCATAAAATAAATAAATAAATGTTTCACATTTTTTATGCACATAATATACTAGTCTTGTCCATGCATTTAAAAGTGCACATGTAACTTTTCCAGTGGAGAGGTAGAAACATGCTTGTCTCCAAGGAGATGCCATTGCTGTGCCAGAAATGTTCCACAGTATGGTTTTAAATGTATCTATCTTGTATGTATTCCAGTACTTGAATTTTTATTGCTTGAAGGGCCTTGATAAACATGCATTCTTACTGTGAGTGAATTTGGCTCTCCATAGATCTGATGTGTAACTTGGAGTGGCGCTGTTACCTGCTTGTTTCTATGGAGATAGATACTATAGGTCACTGCCACTACTATAGAGCATTTCTGACAAAACCATAACATCTTCAAGACAAGTAGTTGGCAGGCAAAAAAAAGGTTACATAGTGCACTTTTAAATGGAAGAATAATGACTTATGTTGTACCTTGTGATGTCTGTCTCGAGTCTCCCTATAGACCACAGCTCAGTGTTGCCTCACATAACCCCTGCATCACTGACACTACAGTCTGTTGTACTAGATCTATTGTACTATAGGGACTCACTCAGATGTGTGTGTGGCTGCTCTCCTGAAGGGGCCCTCATGGCAGCTGTGGGACCAGGCTGAGGCACAGAGAGAGGGGGCGGGGCAGGCGCAGGGGAGGGGGTCCGCGCAGCAATCTGCACTTCAGGGACCAGAACTATAGGCTGCGCTTGGGGCACAGACACTTGAACTTGAACATGAGACCGTGAGGACAGGAGAGAAGTCTGGACTTGGATTTTGGGAGGTGATATACAGTTTGTAGATTCTGACACAGCGGATTGTATTTGATCTTGGGTGAATAAGGCGTTTTGTGCCTGTAGCTGGTACTGGACAGGTGTCTCATTTTGGGTAGGGGGCGCTGTAGTGTCAGGGTCCTGTACTGGAGGGGTAAAAGTCTGTGGAGGAGGGTCTGTGGGGGAGGGAGAGGAGCAGAGTAGAGAGGAGTCATCCAGGTCTGAGGGCAAAGGGGAGTCCACACACTGGTCTGTGTCTTTGTGCCCGTCCTGGGGAGAGGACAGAGCCTCCAGAGGCACCACTGGCAGTGCGCCAACCAGAAGCTCCGACGACAGAGGGGAAGTAAGTGCGTGCTGTCGGTGATTTTACAGAGAAACAATAAACACAGTGAGAAATATTATGAAATAATATTCAATACAGTAATACAGTTTAATAAAGTGGCCTCTGATACATGGTGTAGTTGGCACTTACCTGTTGCAGTTGTTGCATAAAGGCTTGGTTCTGGCTCAGCTGGGTCACCTCCTCCACCACTTGACTTATTTCTGCTGGAGCCATCAGGAGTTTGGGCAGATCCACTGCCGGGTCAGTGGGCAGAGGAGGCTCAGGAGGGGTCTGGAGGACAGTCACCACGGGGGGAGTGGAGGACTGCAGTCCTGTAGGCTGCACTGACACCTGCTGCAGCACTGGTCCATAGGACTACAAGAGAAACACGAGAGAATTTTCATTATAAAGTCCAGTTGTTTGCTTCTTTAAGCTTCAACAGTGGGCACTCACCTGTGTCAGGTGAAAGGCCTCGTCCTGAGCCCTCTCCTCTGGGGCAGTCCGCTCCGGTAGCAGGACCACAGAGGCCTGCTGCAGGCCCAGCTGAGCCTCTGTCACTGTGGCCTGAGGGACCTGGGGCACCTGGGGGACCTGGGACACTTGGGGGACCTGGGTTTGGGCAGCAAAGGGCAGCCCCTGAACCACTGATGGGCCATTCACTATAGAGATGGAGGTGAGGTCTGGGGGTAGCACCCCTGTGCTGTTGATCAGGGTAATGTGATTTCCAATGGCAGGGCTGTGTACAAGAGTGGCCCGTGGCCCCTGGGCCCCAGCCGTGTATGTCCCTGCGAGCTGCGCTGGCATCTGGAAGACAGTAGGGGGCGCAGACTGCAGCTGCAGAGGTCCAGACAGCACTGTGGCCTGGCGTAAAGCGAGCTGCCCTGTGGGGGTGGTGAACACAGGACTGAAGTTCAGCTGCCTTTGAGGAACAGTGAGAATCTGTGAGCTGTCCACAAGCTGCCCCGCTGAGGGGGCCACAGTGTGCAGCGTGGGGCCCTGGGGGGTCAGAAGCTGGCGCTGGGCCGGGGCGTGTTGTGGGAGCGTGACAGGAGACTGTCCTGGAAGAAGCAACTGGTTCTGTCCATGGAAGAGGCCGTGAGGCTGCAGCACGAAGGAGCCCGCTTGGTTGACAAGCTGCAGACTGACTGGTTTGGGAAGTTGTGGGGCAGACTGTGGGACTGGGGCAGGCTTTTGGGCAGCTGGTTGGGACAGAAGAATGTTTGGGGAGGCTGTGCCAGAAACAAAGGTCAGACCAGGTGCTGGCTTCTGTGCTGAAGGCTTTGGGCTGATCTGAACTAATCTCGGCTGGATGGTGATGGGCAGTTTGGGCTGGATGGCCAGCGGAGTGCGCTGTAAAACTATGCCAGAAGGGGGTGCTGCAGCTGCTCTCAGAGTCTGGGCGATAATGGGCCGGGGTGGGGCAGTGGGCAGGGCTTTGTGGATGATCATACTGGAGCCGTTGGCTGGACTCAGGGAGATTTCGGGAGAAGCAGCGGGAAATACATTTCCAGGCAGAAGGCCCATGAGCTGAGGGGGCGCAGTTGGTTTGAGTGAAGGACATCCAGGCCCCACGGCCAACAGAGAGGGCTGGGGAGGGTCCACTGCTGCCTGGGTGTCTCTGGGCAGGACGGGGGCCACAGGTAAGCTCACAGATTTAGACACAAAAGGGACGGGGGACAGCAGAGGGGCGGGTGAGTAGAGTGATAGACTGTCTCCACTCTGCACCAGGCCTGCCTCCAGAGCCATGGTCTGCTCAGTGATATCTGCCTCCTGCAGACTCTGCTGGAGAATATCACAGGCCACCTGCGCCTCCTCTGCCTCCTCCACAGGGGCCTTTTTGGGTTCCAGCTCTGCGGGGGTCCCCATGGGCCCCAGCGGAGGGTCTTCTGCTGCCTCTGGAGAGGACAGGAGCGCCTCCTCCAAAAACGACAGGTCCACACAGCCGGGCGTGGGCGAGTCTGGAGAGCCCACCCCATCTCCGAGCAGAGACCCTGGGCTCTGTGGAGAACAGGACCGGCACCAGATGAAAATTAGGCACACAAACATAGAGTGGGACTGAAAATTTCATATTTATAGCATACAAAGAAACATTTAAGGATAATAATAGTTCAAACTTGAATACACAAAAACCTTGTTATGTTGATTGTAAGTACTCATTCTACATTGGGGTGATAGTGTTACATCACATGTATGCTTTTTAAGTGGATGAGTGCAATGAAATAACATGCATGATGCTGCAGAGGCTCCAGTGTAAAAACATTAGGATGTCTTATTTAATCATGGAGAGGCCCGTCTCAGCTCTGCGTGCAGTTGAAGTGTGATTAGCAGAAGTTAGCAGGATGCATTTGGGGCGCTGGAGGGGGGCAGAGCCCCTCTCGTGGGGGGCATGCTGCTGGTTGTTGTGGCGCTGTTGGCAGTGGATCTAGACACTCACCGGGGCATCTGTGAAGAGGGACGCCTCCCCAGAGGAGGAGTTAATGAGCAGGTCTTCAGTCGGCAGCTGCTGGGACCAAAGCAGCAATTTTAGGAAAGGATTTGTGGTGAGAAATTATCCAGTATTGCATTACAAATCTCCAGAGGTGGGCGAGTTTCATTTACTTGACTGACTTTGAACATTAATACACCTTTGCCTAAAATGTATCAATTTTGTTGAAAAAAATATGAATGAATTGGGCAGGATTTATATAGCTTTTTGGACACTCAAAGATGATTTACATTGCATTATTAATTCACTCCACACGTTTAGTGGTGGCAAGTTGCTATGGTAACGAGCTGCCTTAGGCCTGTCTGATAAGAGATGTGGCTGCCAATCTACGCCAACAGAATGTACCACATACATACATATACAGGCAAGGTTTGTGAAGTGTATTGCCCAAGGACACAACAACCACTGTGAAATGACTATCTACAAAAACAAGCCATGCAGTTACAATACTTACTTACTCTACACATAGTAAATTTACCAAAACAGTTTTCTTACAAATTCTGGCCACTCTGCCCTCCTCTGTAAATCATTCTGACAGACTGCCTCCACACACTACGGGCCAAAAGAGATTCCCAGCTCAGATTTACTATTTACACTATTGATTTTTTTACTCCAGCACTTACCTCATTGGTCCCATGAAGGAAGTCGTTCAGGGCTTGAGGGTCACTGAGTGTAAAGAGAAATATTAACTATTATTTAAGATCGAAGTAAATATATATGGGGATAAGAGACTTTGGGGAGGTGGTTCATTAATAGATTTGATAAAAAGGTTGTGTGTATTTAATAATCCCAAAAGATCTGTATTAAAAATGATACTCACCACAAAACATCAAGTAGACAAGTCCCATCATCATCCTCCATGTCAACTAACAGAGATAAAATAATAAAGAATTACTTTTAACAGTACTAGTAAAATACTTTTTAACATTCTTATAAATATTAGCTGTCATAATCACAAAAAAATGATTGACCATTTTGGCTTTTAACTAACTTAAAATTAGAACCTTTGCATTACTTTAAGATTTGAAAAAAGGTCAACATTCAAAAGAGAAATTCAAGATTGTAAAGAGCCATTTAACACTATTTTCTGATCTTTGTTAAAATGTTGTATACTCATCATAAACATCTTCAGCTGTGTTTTGTTTCATTCACACGTTAACACGCAAAATCTGCAGTTTTCAGAGACTTTCTCTCACACTGAAAACACTCTGTTCCACCTTGTGATGATACTACAGGAAGAGCTCCTTTGTGCTCCATACACTTTCATTACAATTATTTGGAAGATTTTGGCCATGTGTGGATGAACATTATAACTTGGGTTAAATCTCACAAGAGTCAATTGTGTGTAATATAAGAGCTTTAAGGTAAAACTTTCACTAAATTTGGTCTGTGGTAAATGGGCTCAAACAATGTCAGATGTCCCAGGTCTTTAGTGTTCACAAAGTGTGATCTGACTGAAGTAGCAGCAGATCCTTTAAGTTGTGAGTCGTGAGGTGGAGCTTTTAGTGGATCAGACTTGTTTGTCCAGTATATCCCACGGATGCCCTGTAAATCCACCACCTCAATTTACTTTTCACTGAACTTTTTATGCTACAGCTGTTGTTTTAAACTTATCCACATCAGGAAATGGTTTTCCTGATTCCTTCATCTACTTCAAGGTCAAAATGCCTTAAGTCTGCACCACTCATTTGTAAGTGCTTTTGCATGAGACACTATGATCAGTAATTTCATTTGCCGGTCAATTAACAAAGCATCCTCACACTGTTCAATTAGAAGCAGCAATTAGAGTCCCTTATCTGTTGGATAGGCCTGCCACTAGCATCATCTGTTACTAGTTCATTACTGTTCCTTTCATGGACAAAGTTCGACACTGACCACTGCACTTTTGAAGGTGCTTTGACAAGTTTTAACAGCTTCAAATGTATATGTGCTATGTGCATATTAACTATGTTCAAATTTTACTAATAATACTACATCTTGTGTTTCACTGATCTTTAATGTCTTTGTCATGTGGAAGAACCAAATGTTTTGTGCCTATGTCCTGTTTTCTGTTTTAACATCAATCTGCCAATGGGACTATGGATGAAATTTGTCTTAGAAAATTAAGATAACTGGCACATTTACATGCTGTACCAACACATGTTGATTAATGAACACTGTCCCATATTTAATAAATAAACATCAACAAATGCACAAAATGTTCACTTGGTCCTAGGGATTGAACCAGATTTCGTGCCACAGGATCTTACAAGCCAAATTTGCCACAGAATTATGCATGTGGAAAAATTATCTATTTTGATTCAATTTTGACTAAAAGACTGTCACAAGATGAAGGCAAGGACAATCCTGTATATTAATATTTTAAGTTAATTTAATCCTAAATTTCTTTGGTGAAGAACTTTTATTATGTGCAAACCATCATTAGATTTGGCCCTTGACGTGCTAATGCGTCAAGGGCCACCGAGGGTACCCCTGGGTTAAAGGCATGTGAGTTGCATTTTGAGAACTCACAACTCACTTTGAGTTGACATTCAGAAAAGCAGTTCTACAATGACAGCAAAAATATAAAATAAAATAGCAAGACCAAAATTGTGAATTTAAACCACACAATGTAATTATATGCTACGTCAAAATCTTGTCCTGTTCATAGCCTGAATATAGAAGTTTACAAAGGTAGAGTGATGTCACCAATGCATTTGGCTCCAGTTAAATGAAGCTCGTGTGGCTAGCAGTTACAGGGGGGAATTTAGAGCCAGGCTCAATGGGCAAAATGGCAAAATACAAACACCAGGATCATGTAGAGCGGGTTAATAGTAATATTTTAAGACCAAAGTGATGAGGCTCACTGCAGCAGTTGCAGAGAGTGGGGCGACAATTTGTCAATGTAATGCCAATGGGACACAGAATAGATGGAGCCAGAAGTGACTCCATGAACACTTCCTATATGGAATGCGGCGGCTAGCGGGATACATATGTCCATTTATATATACAGTATATGGTCTAGTTCTCATGAATTGAATCTCATGCCTCAGGTCTCATCCTGAAGGAAGTTTGTCTCATCTCACCCCTACTTGCTACCACATAAGATGTCCCCACAAGCATGTGAAAAAGAGAATTGTTGACTTCACTTGCCATCATATAGGGACATACTTGATATGCGAAAGGCCCCATACAGAGCGGTCCGAGCTGAGTTCTGCTGGTGGCCTCATGGGAAGAAGTGCTTGGTCTTCAGCTGGTTGTGGAGATAGAGGAATGCCAGAGCAAAATGGCAAAGAGACAGTATCAGACGTGTTGTGCACTCCCTCTGTGGGGGCATCTCTGCACGTGGAAGCCTGAGGACATGAGAGGATGGAGTAAAAGTTGAAATTTTCACTTTAGTTCATCTTCTTGGTCATAGGGTCACTGTTTGCTAGAGGAAGTCACTGCTGTGTAAACTCTGAGCTTGCATCTTCAAGGCACTTATAAACATAGACTTACTAAGTTTTCATGAGTCTTGATAAAACAAAAATGTGATCTGGCTCAGAAAATTCCATCCATATACATTCATTTTAAGGGTCAGTACCAGTCTATATGCCAACCCCAGCTATGGACTAGGGTAGGATTTCATACAGCAGGCGCATAGTTACAAATTGAAAACTCCTCACTCCTCATTAACGAAAAAATATATATGAACAAAAAGTTGACAGTTAATAAATGAACTGTACTATCCAAGAGGGATTCCCTTGGGGGCATACCTCAAGGATACAGCCTAACATACAGGGTCTCTTATTGAAAGCAAATCATTCACAAATATATCTTTCTTCTACCTGTCTGTAGTAAAATATCTGTCAGGTCAGACGAGGTTACACCAGCCAAAACGCATGCCCTCCTCAGTCATTTCACTTTGATCAATATATGATTCATCAGTTTGTTTGAGACAGTGGGAGCGCGTCTGGACGTTTACCAATAACAAAGTCTTATTTTGGGGTATATTGATTAAGCTCTGGGCTGAGGACGAGGGGAGCTATTGTTACAGCTATCACAGACACGAAAGAGGGGCATATCTGTAAATAGACGGCTCCCCTGCGCATTGATTTGACTTCCACTGCTGTCGGCTGCGAGGTGCGCCTAGAAAGCATCACAACACCAAAACACACCGGTGCCAATTTCGAGTAAAGATTTCTTGAAAATACACACTAACATTTGTGTAAGCAACCTACTGACATATTGTTTACTACGCTACGGCCGCATTAACACCGTCTGTATTACCGCAGCGCCCAATGAGAACCGGGTAAACCTGCAGCGGTTGCGTGTGTGTAAAATAACACGGCGATCCAGAGGTGTTTTTTTCTGGGTTATGTAAGGTGAATGTGTGTTCATGTGAAATTAATAACGAGGAAAAGCTTGAGGATGCCTCGCCACTCGCTCGCTCGCTGCTGCTCTCCCCATGCGTGCCATATTATTTGGTGAAGTGGGACCAGCGTTGAGCGTAAAGGCACCAGCAGCAGCAGTGGAGCAGAGGAGGCAGTCGCTCTAGTCTAAATCATATCGCGGTAACAAAAGATGCCTTGTGTTATAGCATCGCCACGCAGCCCGAGCCACGCGCAGCAGCGATCCTCTCGTGGTGACATTAGAGAGATATCGCAGTACAGAGACAGGGCAAAAACAAGCCAAGACGTGGAAAAAACTCACCCCTTCTTTGTGGTTTATTGTCCTGTCAAGCGGGCCTCTGCGCCATCGATTCTCACTCAGTGGTCCTTTCAGATGCTAAGAGGAGGAGGCGAAGGGGGGCGGCGGTGGCGGAGAGAGGGGCAGGGTAGGGTGGTGGGATGGAGGAGAAGAGGAGGAGGGGGTTCGCAGTGGTGGTAGTGGGAGCTGATCACAACACAAAGGTGCAAGGAGAGGGAGAGGAATGAGAGGCGGAGAGCAGTGACAGCCTGGCGGCATCTCGCGCGCCCGAAGCCCCCAACCCACGTCACAGAGCGCACGGTCCCACGGCTCACAGAGTCCCGCACGTGTTCTTCTCGGCTGCCAGACTTGTTTTTCATTTAGACCAATTTAAGAGAGTGAGACCGGTAGTTCCCAAATCTGTTTTCCCCTAAAGGCATAGTTTTAGAAAATGAATCAATATTTGGAGACGCGCTTGTTTGCTGCTGTATTGACAGTGTTTCAGTAGATAAAAAATGCTATTGGAGTGGAGACTGTGAGGTAAATTGTCGAAATCAATACAAGACAATAGTTAGAATAAAGACAAAATTTAAAAGGAAAGAAACAGCACTATATAAGTAATATATCGCTAAAATTGGACGGTAACCACTGCTGGCCAGTAAAATCAGTTAAGCCTAAAGTAGTGTTTTAGTCTTTCAATTCCACAAACACAATACAGAAAGAATTGTCTTAAGTTTATGTTGACTCCAAAACGAATCATTGTTCATAATATAGATATTTTAAAGCTACACCATTAGCAGCAATACTTCGCACCATGTTATTTCTTTAACCCACAATCCTCTGTGGCCAAACTCTGGAGGAGAAAATGTTCTTTCACAGTAAACAACGATTATACTAAAACTTTCTCACTCTTACAGAGTTTTGTAATTTTAGAATTTAAGATGAACCGTTTCATAGTTTACAAGAGTTGCTTTACTTAGAATGTTCCCCAGTATCTGTAGAGAGGTGATCCTGCTCACACTAAGAATGCATTTTTCATGGAACATGGAACAATGGAACATTCAAGGCAAAGCAATAACATCTCCAAAGAGACAAGCAAGTTGGTCCATGAGAAAAGTTATGTAGTACGTCTTAAAAATTGAATAGTGGGTAAGAGGTAATGGTAGACAATGCATTTTAAGACCATTAAATAATTTAACAAGACAATGCGATGTTATTTAAACAAAACATTTAATAGTAAGCAAGACATCCTTATACAAAAGTTCTTCTAAATAAAAGAAATCAAAGCATTTTAAAAAGTAGGGCAAAAACTTCAAAAACACATTAACTTTGTGAAAAGCAGTTACATAATGCAAACACACGTATCCCCTTAAACCTTGTCTCTGCTCACTTGCCCGCCTGCTGGGCCTGACGCCGCAGCAGAACATAGATCTTCTCTTTGATCCAGTCTTTGTTGTATGGCTGGTACGTCTGTGTGTCAGCCCGATATCTGTTTATGACAACAGAAAATATGTTTAGATGGGCTTGCATGATGATAGTTTCCTAAAGGTTCTAGATTACCTAAAACTGACTCATGTGAGTTTTAAGCCATGTTATAATGCTGTTACCTCCTCAAAAACAGATCCAGATTTGTGTTTTGTTTCATTCCCACGTGAGTAATCCATTATTATTAGTCTGTCTACATCTCCAAAGCTCAAATGCTCTGTTCCACCTTGTGATGTCATGAAGAGATAGTTTTCAAGTTAGGAGCTACCCTTTATCATTAGTTCAGTAGAGCTACAATTGCAGACCTGAAATTATTCTAAGAATTCTAGTGAAGGTGTAAAGATTTTAAAAGCACAGTGCAGCAGTTCCTGTATTACCACATTACATCACAAGGTGGAAGTGTTTTCAAATTGAGAGAAAAATGCAGCCTAAATATGCAGGTTTTGTGTGTTAAACAAGTGTGAATGAAACGAAACAAAACACAACTCCAGGCATATTTGTGATGAGGAAACGTTATAACATAGATCAGAATACAGTGCATTATGGGCCCTTTAAATAATATACACTGTACAACAATGTGGTCATGAATCCTTTTATTTTATTATTAATCCTATTATTAAATGACATGTGAACAGCAAAAGCACCTGATTCCTTTCTGTTCCTCTGGTTAGTCACATTAGACTTTGCAGTTTGCATGTCATTTAAATTATATTAAAATTATCAGATTTTGGTGTAAAGGTAAACTTAGCATATTTATGTCTAAACAAGAGAAAAACTGTCAACAGAAGAACATTTGTAATGCAGAAAAATGCCAATGCCAAGTGAATAAACAATATTTACTTAAACTTACACCAAACAGCTGAGGTCTGCCAGGTCATCAATGAAGTCAAATAACTGGCTGATGTCATATGTTATAGATGGACTGTTTGGGTTCATTCTTTTCAAATGCTCTTCATACATCTTACACACACCTGTTCAGGACAAAAATGTGCAGATCAATGTAATGCATACAATCTTTATAATTGCAGAACTCAAAATCATGCCTATTTAGACTTTGACAAACTTTATTGATCCACAAGGGAAATTATTGTATTATTTCTGTAAGTTTCCAGTGCCTCTCTACATTCACAATATTTACAGATTTGCCTTTTACTTGGCCCTTGCCTGGGTTGCTGGATGCCATGCCAAAAAGAGTGACTACAGTTTCCTTCGTGTTTGATAATTATGTCCCTTGACTAGAATTTAGGACTGAGAACTTCTGAAGCACCAATCTTTCCTCTAATACAAGTTCTGTATAATCACACAACACATGCTAAACAATCAAACTTATATGAACAATAAAATGTTCTAACTGAGTAATAAAACAAGATGCATAGCGCCTTACCTTCCATGCACTCGTTGACAGATTCATAGTCCGCATATGTCCTGCCCTCTGGCCTCTTGGTGGGCTGCACCAGCAGGATGGTGTGAGACTGAAAAACAGGAGATCAAAATATTAAATTAAATAAAGCATCATGTATGTGAACGTTCTCTGCTAAAAAAACAACAAAACAAAACAAAAAACAACGATACAGTGTGAAAAATACGTGTCTTCCGCGCCTGCATTAAATTATTTTAATACACCACACACTGTTTGTGTAATCCCTGAGTCGTCGAGTTAGGTGCCATAGCATAAAAAAAAAAAAAAAAAAAAATTAAATTCTTTCAAATGGACAAAGATTTTCAAGTTAAGACCATAAACTAATAACCAGAGGCCACCGACGTTCGATGACAAACCATAGATGATCATTTCATCTCAGAATTTCGGCTTGATTTCATGGACTGGAAAACACACACACACTTTACACACATGCTAACGTTAGCATGTAGTTAGCATCTCAGTTAAAAGTCCGACTCTCAGACTACGAGGCGCAGGATAATATGCAAGTTTATACATTAAACCTTAATGATCAACCGAATGTGATTATTTGCCATACTAACCATGTTTTGATTGGTATTGGGAGTTTTTCGTCGCTGCTGGATCCTGTTCTGGTGCAAGACGAGTTGACCTTTGCTACCGGAAGAACAACTCACAAAGTTAGATCCAACCTTTTTCGTTTCTTTTCTCGTTTCTTTAGGTATCGTGGGGTTGGTTAGAGTGACAAATTGAGTATAGGCTTTCTGGAGAATAGTAGACACTCGTACAAATTATTCGTTTGTAATAACAAAGCACATGCTGTATTTTATCAGACACGTTTTGCTCCCCATGGTTCTGTGAAAGTGGTTAACACCAGCGACCGGAAGTTCCGCGAGAAGACAGGAACAACAAAGAGGAGAAAGTGCCCGGGTTTTAAATGCACTAAAGACCACGCCACAAATCAACACCTACAAAGAAACCACTGTATGTAACAGGTACGAGTGTGCTTTTAAAAACATATTTTTGTGATCGATGTTTGAAGTTAACAGGGCGAGTTTTTTTCTGTAAAGTGGCTACAGTGCTCCGCTGCGGCTAACGAGCCATTTTAGCGGTTCTCAAATAGCGATATAAATCCTGAAAGTGATCCGCCCAAAATGAAAACACCACAATGTCCCATACTGATAATCAGGACAGTTACATTGCCTTTTCATTCTGTTATTCTCTATATGCAGTACGATAGTTCAGAGTTGATCTAGCTACTACAGTCCGCTAAATCACTCAACTTACAGGTGGGTTGTCAGACAAATAACGACAAGACCAAGAAGTAATTATATTATTTAACTAATTACTCAGGCCGATAGAGGCATTCATTCGGGCATAATAGAAGACTAATATATTTTCTTTTAATAATTGCAACTGTATACTACATTAGATAAGTGTCAGTACATTTCAATGTTGTACCCACTTATGCATAGATATTTTAGAGGTATTAAACTTACTTCATTAGTCATTACAGTTTCTAACAGTGATGTTTTTCTCAGATTTGAGGAACTTCATCCCAGTTGGCCATGGCGAACAATGCAGAAGATGTTGAAAATAACACGGTCAGTACATAATTATTTCAGTGTATTTTTTTGTCTTCACTTAAGTCTGTTGCAACATTGGTTATTACCACATATCCCTCTTATGTCACACAGGACTTTTAAAATATTGGTTTGTCCCTTGAGTATACTGTAATTGCCAGCTTGACTAATGACAAGATTATAATATTCGGACATGTTATGACTCATATGCTCTTTAGACTGTTGAGTTGTTAGCAGAATGATATTTGCTCTCGCTTACTGCGAGAAGGTGTGGTCTCAAAACTAGTGTAGATCTGTTTCCTGTGTTGCAGAGCTTTGTTCAGCATATTGAAGTGTGTGGTCTAATATAATTTTTTTTTTGTGTTAATTTTAGCTCTGCTTTTCGCAGCATAGCCTTTTTGTCAGACAGTATCATGTCAACATTTCCAGTAGAGCAAGTGTGCGAGGTGCAAACTCTGCCTTAGTTGCCAAATATTTTTCTATCTAGTCTTGTTTTGTCATGTCTCGTATCACTTTGAAAAGCAAATGCACATTTCCCTTTCCATGTTATTGTGAAATTCAGGTTATTTAGTTCTTTTTCTGGTTTTCACCAAAGACAGTGCCATGTTTCTGTTATACACTTCTGTATTATGTTGTGACAACATTCGTTCATAGTCATATGACACAGATGGATGTCTTCACAAGTGAACCAAAAAACAAAAAAACTTTTTAGTTTTAGATACAGTACAGTTAATATATTTTAATCCATAACTATAATATTTCATGAACTTTCACTATGGCTCTGCTACCTCCTTATTTTTGTGGAGATGTTGCTTTGCCTGGAATGTTCCAATGTGTGGCTTTTACATCATGTAGGCTATTGCAGGTTTTTATTGCATAATATTACCTGTGAATGAGGTCGCCTCTCCACAATCTGACATATAACTTGGTTTGGTGGTGTCACTGACCTGTCTCTATGAAAATAGACACATTTATTGCCATACTGTGGAAAATTACAGACAAAGCCATGACATATTTGTATAGACGAGCAAGACTGATGACCCCTCCTCCAGAAAAGTTGCATAGTGCTTATGTTAAAAATAAATAAATAAATATATAGGAGTAAATTTAGCTTTACTCATTTTATTTAGTCAAATATATTTTCTCGACATTTGATAATAGCCCCTGTGCTATAAAAAAAAATTCCACACTTTTTAGCAGTGTAGTGTCATCCACCCACACGGCTCCAACTATTTAATGCTGCTATTATCCCACTTCCAAAGAAAAGAAACAATGGTGTGACAAAGTGGGCTCCTTCCTTCTACAATAAAGAGCTCTGCAGCCTTCACTGTGCAGGTCTCTGGAGGTATATTCTCATGCACTCATGTTTACCTGCTCAAATTGCTCTGTGTTGGAGCTGCTGTCTCCTGTCTGGACTTGCTGACAGCCTGACAGTTCTGGTTCAGTCTCTCTGGTTTGCCTCTTCATCTTGTTTCCTTAGGGCTGGGGATGGAGAGAAAGAAGAGAGAGGAAGAGGAGAGAGAGAGATGAGAGTGAGAGAGAAAGAGAAGAGACGGGAAGAGAGAGAGGGGAGAGAGAGAGGGGAGAGAGAAACAGAGAGAGAGATGGGAGAGAGAGATGGGAAAGAGAGAACGGGAGAGAGAGAACGGGAGAGAGAGAACGGGAGAGAGAGACGGGAGGGAGACGGGAGGGAGACGGGAGGGAGACGGGAGGAAGACGGGAGGGAGACGGGAGGGAGACGGGAGGGAGACGGGAGGGAGACGGGAGGGAGACGGGAGGGAGACGGGAGGGAGACGGGAGATCCTCTGGGAAATCTGCCTGTCTGTGAATGTGGAGCAGTGGAATGCAAACACAAGATGGCCTTGAAATGCTACTAAGTGTTCTGTAATTTTTAATCAGATAGAACAGATGACAACTGGTGTGACTATAGAAACTGGTGTGGTCTTCTATTTTGGAATAATGATTGAATAAATGCAACAACATCGTAATTGCTGAAATCTTATCCCTGGGAAGGTCTATATTATTGGTTTTAAAAGGATGCGTAATGTTGGGGCCGTGCATTTAATCAAGCTTTAATCGAGATTGAGAATCAGTCATGTCTGTAATTGTAAATTATATTGTTAATGTGTTTTTTAAATTGAGAGCTCTACAGCCAGTTCTCTGTAAAAGCATGTAGTTTAAAAGCAGTGCAGAGGCGATATTGGTAGAGGAAATTTTAAATGTTTTTGTATAAAATTATGTTTAGGAAATTAATACTGAAAGATATTTTATTTGTTTATGTGACAAAGTTAAATGAAATAAAAAATCCTAATGGATCTATGATGAAAAATATGAGAAATGGTGATATTGTCCAGCCAAGTTCCATGCTACTTTATGCTTCTTTTAAATGATGATTTTATAGAAAAATTGGATCGTTATTATTATTTTATAGTGCAATGGGCTCGGGGCCTTCTTTGAGAAACTATGTAGAATAACTGAAGTGTTATGCATAATTTTTTTGTGTTATTCATTAATTAATGGTTAAGTGACTGAAGAAACTAACTGAAAAAATTAGCAAAAGGGCATTGACATTTTGGCTGATATATTTTTGTGTTAAAGAAACATTTGTTACGTGTTACAGGACCAACAGGAGACCAGTGCCTCTCCAGAACCAGCCCCCCCACAGTCTTCCGAGTCCGGGCTGAGGTCCAGAGGAGGGTCTGGGGCGGGGGACAGAGGCGGAGGAGGTGATGGAGGGGGAGGAGGAGGAGGAGGAGGAGGAGGAGGGGAGGAGGAGGGGAGGCTCCGGAGCAGAATGGACAGCCTCCAGCGGTGACTAACCCCCCTCGAGTAGTGGAAGCCGAAGAGGAAGAGGATGAGGAGATGACCCTAAAATATGGAGCTAAACACGTCATCATGCTCTTTGTCCCCGTGACTCTGTGCATGGTGGTCGTCGTGGCAACCATCAAGTCTGTGAGCTTCTACACCCAGAACGATGGGCAGAGGCTGTGAGTGCAGGCATTTACTCAAAAATATTGATATATGACAAAACACTTATGTAAGTGATAAAAAAAATCTTGCACTAATAATATGCTGATCTTCAGAATGAGAGTCAGTTAAAATGGCTTGTATCTTGGACCTTTGGCAAGAGGATCCTGTGTCTCAATAATAAATGTGTAGATAAGATAAACTGATCTACAATAGTGGTCAGTGCCTGTTAAATGTGTCTAAATAGTAGTAAAAATTATTAAAAACTTCTAAATGCCAAAATCTTGGTTCATGAATAAGCTCTGCTTCAATTTCTACTTAAGATCAATGGACATGTCAACTTTTGAAAGCAAAAATAGAATCTTATTTGCAGACTAGAAGACCTCTATGCAATGCTCCCTCATGACCACTAGATGGACCCAATGTAATTTAAAGTTTGGTCTGATATTTCTCAACTGTTAAGATTGTAATGTAAACAGTTCATAAAACACATATTTTTTTTCTAAATTGATTCGCTAACCTTTGGATTGTTATAATTTAGACTTTCTTTGTAAAAGCTATATATTTAAAGCCGATTTAAACCTCCCTATGGGCCACTTTTCAGTCTCAACACATAATTTGAGAACCTGTTTCTCATTAGAGCAGCAGTCAAAATAAAATAGTGTATAATTGTCTTTTAGTTTTGGACCACCTACTGTCATCTTTGTGGATCTCTATCCGAGGCAGCCTTGGGCTGGTCTGCCCTCTGGGTTCCCATAGGCGTGAATCTTCTACGGTGGCCGTAGATCAAATCAAAACTATTATCAACTAAATAAAGTGAGGAGAAGCAGGAGACTAGAGAGAAAAAGCTTAGAATAATGACCATAATTTAACAATAGATTGTTTTTATGTGACCCATATTTACCCATGTTTTTTTGTTTTGTTTTGTTAACTTTAACATGCCTTCATCCTACAACTGTTTATGTTATAGATGAGTTGATGTATACAGTTGCCCGTGTGGATATATGATTGTGAATGAGAACTGGCTAGTATCCAGGCTACATAAAGCCCATGGATACACTCAATGCAGAAAAAGAAAAAAGAAAATTTAAATTAAAAATGTAAATAAAGGGCCAGTGCATGAATATGTGACAAGAATTCCAACCTGAAAATGTCAGTTGAGGATTAGCCCCATAATGATAAAATTCAATTTATAGCGTGTTATTGTTCATCTGTTATGTGTTATTCTTAAGTGATTGAAACTTCATCACTTGTAATAAACATATTTATCACTGTGTCTAATCCGTTCCTGTTTATGTTGATTGACAGGATTTACACTCCATTCCCAGAGGACACAGAAACAGTGGGACAGAGAGCGGTGAACTCCATTTTAAATGCCACCATCATGATCACTGTCATCATCGTCATGACATTGGTGCTGGTGCTGCTCTACAAGTACCGCTGCTACAAGGTACTCCATACAATCAAGGGATTAAGGCATGTTTATCTCTGTAGTGGGTGTGAGCAATTATTATTTTTACCTGAGAGCCATATTGTATTCAGGCATGTGGCATCATTGGTGTAACACATACTCATAAGTATGTTTCTGTCAAATATAGTCTACTGTAAATCTATTACATAATAAATTAATCAGGTTCATGATGAAAAGATTCTTGTTATGAAGCACTTTTGTCATCTTAAAACTTTGATCGCTAAAACCTCCACAATATCTCTTTTGCAGGGGAAAAAATCTGTCATAATTTTTGTACTTTTTGTAACTGATACTTTGCAGCTGATGTCATCAACATTCCCTGTGGGCACTGCTCTGTTAGAAACTCAAAGTTAGACTTAATCTGAGCATTATTGTAACACAGTCTTAACAATGTTCAAGGTCAATTACATGCCCTTTGACATGCACAACCTCCTACTATTTTTTTTATAAGACCCACATGGACTAAATTTGAAATCAAAGTAATCAGAGATGGAGAAATGTATAGGTTCAGGATGAAAACATTATCACAAATTCTTCTTGCTCTCAGTTATGGTTTGAGGCTAGGAGGGTGAGCACAGAAGGTTAAAGCTACTACAATATGAACATGAAGTTTTCCATGTCTACAAGAGTCTACATGTATTTGTCATGTTCAGTCTAATTCTTTGCGATGCTTATCTCTGCAGGTGATCCAAGGCTGGCTGTTCCTCTCCTCTCTCCTTTTACTGTTTTTCTTCTCCTACATCTACCTCAAGTAAGCCACACCTCCAACACTTTTTCTAAATCTTTCAGTACACCATGTTGACTAAAATGTACCCATCTCTTTTGGTTTACAGGGAGGTTTTTAAGACCTACAACTTGGCAATGGACTTCTTGACGATTGCGTTGATAATCTGGAACTTTGGAGTGGTGGGCATGATGTGTATCCACTGGAAGGGCCCCCTGAGGCTGCAGCAGGCCTACCTCATCATGATCAGTGCCCTCATGGCTCTGGTCTTCATCAAGTACCTGCCCGAGTGGACTGCCTGGCTCATTCTCGCTGTCATCTCTGTCTATGGTATGTTTTTTACTGACTTCTGGATTACTTAAAGGTGCATTACATAACTTTTCTATTCTTTTTCCTTTCTTTTGGTATGTCCAATACCTGCTAGTTATTGCTTTGCCAATGTTACACACTATGGCATTGTACTTATGTATTTTGCCTTTCATCAAATTCAGGTGTTTTTATTTCCCAAAAATACCTTGATAAACATGCATTATTTAAGTGAGGGAGGTTGCATCTCCACTGATCTGACATGTAACTTAGCCTGGTGGTGTCACCTGGTTGTCCTCATGGACATGAATAACTGAATATGACATGAATAACAATGAAATTTCTATAAAATTTCTATGAAAAGATCTAACATCTCCATGGACAAGCAAACGGCGGACCCTTCATCAGAAAAATAACAAAGTGCACTTTAAAATAATTCAGTACGCAGTGTCTTACCTTTTTTAAGATCTTATTTTGATTGGTATATATGTTTAATCTTGTGTTGGCTAAAATTACAGATAAACCTTTGAAACTTGCTGAGCTACTGCCCTATATTACTAGTATAGTGAATAATAAAAGTATACATTTGCACTATTATTAGTTTTTAGTTTAATGGGAAAACAATGATCCTTTTCATTGTTAGAAGAATTTTGCTGTGGTTTGTTTTCCTTTGTCATAGCTTGCCATAGATCTCTGGATACTCACAGTAGCTATAATTCTCATTAATCCCTGTTAGGGGTGTGCAAAAATATCGAAATATCTATATATGGTATCGCTTAATGTAATGAATGAATGAATGACAGTATCAATATTGTAGGCTGCTGTATCGATACCCCTACAGTTTTATTGCTTGTTTAGAGGAAGGAAACTCGTTTATGCGACACATCTAACATATTCACTGTTTTAATGATTAAAATGTGCATGTTCCATATTCACTTTGCAGTGAAGAAGTGGTTTAACAAAGACTTTTAGTATTACAGCTACGATGTAGCCATTTTTTATTGAACTGTATCGAATCGATTTGAAATATATCGTATCGAATTGAAAGTGCACTATATTGAGATATGTATCATATCATGGCCTATGTATCAAGGTATGTATTGTATCGGCAACATTTTAATGATACCCAGCCCTAATCCCTCTTCTGTTTGTGTCTGTTACAGATCTGTTGGCAGTGCTCTGTCCCAAAGGTCCTCTCAGGATCCTTGTGGAGACGGCTCAAGAGAGGAATGAACCCATCTTCCCAGCGCTCATCTACTCTTGTAAGATATAAACAACATTAGCATTTAACATCAACTACAAATGCATTTGTTTAGTTTAGTTTGTAAATATTTTGTTTAATTATTCTAGCGACAATGGTGTGGCTTGTGAACATGGCCGACACTGATGGACATACAAGGAACTCAACAGGATCAGCACCACAACAAGAAGCTCAACCAGGTGAGACAGAAATTATAAAAAGACTAGTAACTGAAATGGTTTGTTGTCCATTGTCTAACTTTTCTTGTGGCTCTTCCACCACCTGCTTGTCTGCGTGAACTCTGTCTCCATGGAGATGCAAGTTTACTGTTGAACATTTCGAGAAAGTTTTTTGTGCAATAAAAACAGTTGTTGTTGAATAAATGTAATCATGATCAGTTAGGGCCATACAGTACAATATTCTAAGCAAATCAGTAATGTCTCTATGGAGACAAAAGTTACATGTACATCTTTTTTTCACTTTTGTTGCTAAAATGCATTTCCGTGCAAAAGGTGTAGTTCTTATTTACAGTATTTCTTACTTGCGGTTCTTCTATTGTTTATTTCCTCAATGATTTTATATGTGCTTTCAGACAATTCCCATTATTTACAAAATCATAGGGCAGCCAAATTACTGTTTTCACTCACCACTGCTTTTATAGGCTGTAGTTTGTTTAGGGGGTTAATTTTCCAATAGACTTGTGGTTATGACGTCTTTGTTGCATAACTGTCATATCACAATTCATGCTTTACTTCTTGTACAATCTATCAGTCATGTTACCATTTACAGTACTGGAAATGTGGCTGTCCTTATTGTTCAAAGATTTGATGTGAAGCAAAAAATGATGTTATGCCACTTAAAAAGAGACAGTTTATAATGGCTGGACAGATAACCCAAAAATTAAAGGTACACTATGTAACCCTTCCATGAAATTTTACTGGTTGACCTTCTGTGTTCATTTCATATATGTGCTTACTGACAGAGAATAGACTTTTTTCACAGCAGCATGCTGGACATGCTACACAATCATTTTTATATGTAGAATACTTCAGTTCGTGGCGTTGTGTTATTTATTATGCCCCAAAATTAGCATTAGTGTTAGCATTGAGACGCAAACATTTCTCTTTCCAAACACTGACGTGGCCTCTGTTGAAGTGTTTTTTTATGCTTTTTAATATGTTGTCAGTGACACCTGCCCTCAGCTCCCAGTTCACTGCCTTATCTTTTAAATATTTATTAATTTTAGCATAACTCAGCAAAAACCACATAGGGATAAAACTGGACAGGAAGTAGTGACCGTGAGGTTGGCCATAGACCTCTCAACTCAATGTCTGAATCTTGATCTCAGTTAATTGCACAGCCCTATTCTGACCTTTCTCGTTTCTCTTGTAGCTGTGGCGTCTCCAGATCCCTCCAGCCCATCCCAGGATGATGGGGGCTTTACGTCAAACTGGATCAATCAGCAGGAGCACCAGCTCGGCCCTCTCCAGTCCACAGAGGAGACACGGAGAGAGATACAACAGATGCCCTCCGCACGACCCCCTACCGAAGATGACGATGAAGAACGTGAGTGCTGACCGAATACTGATCATACAATACAACCGATAGCTTTGTTTTGTAATTTGTAGATTGTAAGGTCAAAGTTAAATTTTGTGTAATCTATAAAATGTTTGTGGAAATGCCTATAATAAGGAGAAATACTCAGACTATGCTTGATTACTTTTTGGAAATAGTAATCACATTTGCATATAGACCACATAAAAACTGGAACTATACCCAGAACTAAACCAAGTCTAAACTGGACTCAAGCCCAGACCAAATCAAATGAACTGAAACACCCTAAAAGTATACACTGAAAATAAGGCAGTGAAATGATGGTAAGAAGAAAACTCCCATGAACATTTCTAAATTTAATTCGACTGACCTAAGCTTTTTAACTTTCAATAGGAGCCATACAGTGTGTCAGTAATGACTTTCTCCCTGTCTCGAAATTTCTACCACAAAACCCAGTACATTCAGCCACTATGTATTATGCACATTACTCTAGTCTGTACATTGTTGTATAAATATAAATAAACCAAACCTTTGGAGCCACCCCTTAGTCTGATGTCTAAACTTGTGTAACTAACATCAGCAGCACTCACTTAAAGGGGCAGGACCAAATGTATTTTTACTGATTGGGAATGTCTACATACTGTATAAAGCATTTATTGTACAGGATGTACAGTACAGAACAGCTTTAGGAGAGAAAATGGATCTCTAGAGAAGACATGGAAAAAATAAAGAAATATAAACTACTAAATCAATCGCTTCCTATTTGGACCAGAGCACCTTGTGGTCTAGCAATGTCTGTACAGGCTATGATTGTACTATAAAATGTTGAGGCCTTTAATTTAGCACAAATACACTTTAAGTACATATCTCAATAATCAAATAAAGTTCTTCCCTTTCAGTTTGACCATCTAAAAGATTGTCCACACTTCTTTCATACAGATCTGCATATTGAAGCATATACAAACCACAGGGACAACACAGTGACATTTTAAATCTTTGCACCTGTAAAATATATTTTAGGTTTATATCACATTGTAATGTTTGTTACTGAGATTATAATGGTATAATTTAAAAAGAAAAATACAATAAAAAGCTAATTTGCTCATTGTTCATTCAGGCTAATACATCTTAAAGCCAGAGAGCCAACAAAAATGGGTCTGAGAGACTCATTTGGCCACCAGACCATAGTTTAGACACACCTGCTTTAAAAGTATCCAAATATTACATATGCCAGCCGTATCCTTTTCCAAAATAATTAGTATCTCTCATGTTCTCTATATCGTGCAGCCCTGGAGTTTAGCTCAGTGGTAAAAGCTGTAACATGCATAATAGTGAGTTGCTTTGGTCCCTATTATAAAGTGTAATTTGAACTTGTGAATTCCCAGATTGTCTGAGTGCCTCTTTTAGGCTGTAATCATCATCTGTCAGATCCCATAAAGCATTTTAGGAATGTTTTTACGTGTTGCTTTTTCTGTTGAAATTGGCAAGTACATAAATGCTACCATCACCATACCATATGTCCTTTTTTAGTCCGCATAGATTAGGAAGCGATTATTCATGGCAATTGCTAGGTTACATGTCTGGACCTCAATGTAAACCTATGGTACATATAGTGTGCATAGTAATTACATTGAGAAATCTTGTGTTTTAACTTTGCTCCACCCTAAAATGTGGTGTTTTGTGTGTACTCAGGGGGTGTCAAGCTAGGACTAGGAGACTTCATCTTCTACAGTATGCTGGTGGGAAAGGCCTCAGCAAATGGAGACTGGAACACAACGCTGGCCTGTTTCGTCGCCATACTTATTGTGAGTGAATGTACCTGCTCATTATGGCCTCTTGTTCTCCCTCACGCCTGATTGGTTTGGTACACGATCCGTCAATCTCCTCACACCGTGTTTATTTGCCATCATCCCCCGCAGTGACTTTTGTGTGACTCTTGTGTGACTCTTGGGACTTTTCTGGGGACAATATGTATCTAAAGTAGAGGTTCGCCTGACTGGAAATGATTACTGCTTAAAGTTTTCATAGAGTCAAAAGGCCAAGCCAGTGGACATTTTGTTCTAGTTCTAAGAACAGAGAAATTGAATATTGTTTTTAATTGTATTTATTTGCTAGGGACAGTGCATATAAATGAAGATCTGTAAGTACAGTGTAAATATGACAGATTATAGGAAAAATCCTAATCCATCTGTTGTCCCTAGGCACGTGACACAGACACAATTACACAACAGATACAATGAGACGTAACACAGAACAGAAAAAGGCCAGATTAAGTGTTAATTAAGTGATAATTTTGTTTCTTCATCACAAGCATACTGTACCTGGAGTTGTGTTTTGTTTCATTCACATGTATTAACTTGAAAACTACCACAACATGACATCACAAGGTGGAACAGAGCATTTTCAGCTCTGGGCATGTAGCCAGGCTAATAATAGTCTTTATCAAACATGTGTGAATGAAACAAAACACAACTCCAGGTCTGCTTTTAATGAGGAAACAACATTCAAACATGTCTTAATGCTCACAAACATCAGTCTTGTGTAACATGGGACCTTTACAAACCTCTCTGAAAGATGTTTATTTTAATCTTTCTCTCTTGTCCCCATAGGGCCTGTGTCTGACCCTCTTACTGTTGGCTATCTTTAAAAAAGCCCTCCCCGCTCTCCCCATCTCCATATTCTTCGGTTTGGTGTTCTACTTCGCCACAGACAACTTGGTACGGCCCTTTATGGACAAACTGGCGCTACATCAGTTCTACATTTAGCAGGACGCTGGCTTTGAAACCCACCTCACCTCAAGTCCTCAACACAACATACACTGCTCTCTCTCTTTCTCTCTCTCTCTGTCTCTCTCACTCTCTCTCTCTGGCCCTAACTCAACAACATGAGAGCGCCCCCTGCAGCCTGGAGGGGAAAAGACATTGGGGCGGCATATGGACCCATCCCGCTGCAACATTTATCTGTGAGAACTGACTGGGACACAAGATTTTGTTGATCCTTTTTCTTTGCCACCGTTGTTCTTAATTTTATATTTTAAAAGACTTTTTTTTTCAGTCGTGAGCTAGGTCCGAGAGTTTGCCACCGGGCTTGTTTTTTGGTTGACAAGATCTAGTGGGATCCAATGCGGAATACTGGGAGTGTTTTGCTTTTATTTAACAAGGGAGACTTTATAAAGGCTCCTCCCTACGCTTCACAACCACCAAGTCATCGCTGGAAATTGAACCATTTCTTTCTACTGTCGGCGAGTGAGCGGCTCTACTAACGCGGGTGGGGGTTTGCAGTAGGTGCCTTGCTCAGGGACACTCTGGCGGTTAAGCTGTTATAACAAAGGGAGACCATTCCATTGAGTCTTTCCTTAATAATGTAATAATTTTTCACTACTCAAATGTTTTCTGTCAATTTTTTTATACCTACAGTTTTATCACCTCACAAGCTTTTAATAACTACACTGCTGGCACAATTGCAATGACTTATGAGTTCCTGAGAACTATTTTGTAGGTTTCTCTCTTTTGGTCATTGTGCAAAATGTTAAGACACAAACCACTGCTTTTTTTCTTGATTTCAAATGCCTCTTGAACCGTTACCCACTCAAGCATTACCACTATAGGCAACTTGGACTAAAATCTCAATGAAAGATTAAGATCAAATAGCATATTATACACACATACATTGTTTGACCTTCACAGGAAGACTGAAATATCAAAACTAATACAAGAATCACATACATTTTAGAACATGTTTGTAGAGCTCTCAACTATAGGGGTAGCTAGTATAAAAAAAATGAAGGCCTCATGGTACTTTTGGATGCTTGTAAAGGAAATTATTTAATAAACATTTTTGCGATTTGCAAATTGTTACCATTCAAATTCCAATTTCCATTTCTTTGGAATAAATCTCGCAGCCCTTGCTTTAGCACTTTTGCTTTCAAACAAGCATTAATTTAATAAAACAAAGGCTGAAACATCAAAATAATACAATATAATGTCAAATTTACTATAATCTCATCTCAACATAATTTATTCACTTTTTGATGTACACAACTCATTAAGCAATTTTGCTAATGCCGTTTCATAATTTTGATTTTGTGTACTTAATGTTGTACTATGCAGGTTTCTGGTGGAGGGTCCCCCACCTGCTTCTCTCTATCAGAGACGTTATTGCTCCACAGTATGGCATTAAACCTGTCTATCTCCATGGAGACAAGATTGAGATGTCATCAGGCAAAATTATAGGAAATTATTTTATCTGTGGAGAGCTGAGCCAGCTCATAGTGATGCATTTTGAGCAAGAAGAAAAACACATGCTCTTGAATACATACAAGATGGACAAATTTAATGCGTTACTGTGGAATATTCAAGGCAAAGCAGTAACAGCTCCATGGGAACAAGCAAGTGATGGAAAAGTTACATAGTGCACCATTAAAAGAAAGTTTGACCTCACTTTTTTTTTTCAAACTGCACTCATTATTTAATCCTAATCCTGTAACAATGAGAATTAAGGAGGCTTCATTACTGTATTCACCACAATAGGGAGCAACATTACACACATTCACATATGGCCCATGGCTTTGTGTACTGACCGACAGAGCTTCAGTGCCTTGCTCACGGGCAACTCTGTAGTGTTTTAAGTGGATCAGAAATGTACTTTTTATTTACAACATTTCCATATGAAGCAACATTTTTTTTTTGTAAATGTCCGGGGGATTGTAAGCTGTGATCGTGGGGTCACAAAGCTTGCCTGGTGCTGTCCTAACTATGCTACATTGAATTGTAAAATAATTTTGACTACACACAAATTGTGTTGTTTTTACGTTGCCGTGCGTTTCTGCATTGATCATCAAAGCCAGAAATTAGATTGGGTGTGATTGGAAGCTTTAAAAATCTACAAGGACATGATAATATAATGGTGTTATGCAGAAATATAGCATAGGTAGTACTAGGGCTGGGCAATATAACATAATAACAAAATGTGTTGTGTTGTGTTTTTTTTTTTTTTTTTGCAGTAACAGTTTTTATTTTTATAATTTTTTTGTTTGTTTTATGTTTTTAAGCACAAATATTACTTCTACTATACCATAAACAATACCGCCTTATAGTAATTACCATGAAAAAGGCTAATTTCTTCCTCCAAAATCTGAACTCTTCTGCAAACTGTTTTTGATTGATTGTTAATTAAAAGAACCAAAGCATGTCATGGACAATTGAAACTACTCAGTCTGTATTAAAATTTAAATTTGATTCATTGCACAGCCCTAGGTATTACATCAGATGCCCTTCCAGAGAAATCTAATATTTACATTTAACTTAAATTGAACTACTGAAATTCTGACTTTTCCACAACATATTGGCACATTTGTACGCTTGTCTCATGTTTATTCAATTGCAAAGAAATTTCTTAAATGTGAACCAATGTAGAGATGGCATCAACCAAATAGTACGATTCTGAAATGAGGAAAATATAAATTAATATTTGATTACCGTGGTGATGTAAAAAGTGCACTGACTGTCGTTAAACTCATCTTTGCAGAGACAAACCCAGAATGTTTGATCAGAGTTTTGTATTCAGTGATATGTCGGGGGACTGTCTTTGCTCTGTCTTTCACATGCATTTGTGTGTTATGCAAAAGTTAAAAAGTTGATTTATATTTTGTTCCTTTTTTAATAAATGAGACAAAAATGAATTTATGTTGTTTGGAATTTGATACTTAGCTGGACTGACCATAATTATAATGTTATCAAATATTTGCTTATAAACAGTGGATTCAGTACAATACAGTGCACCCTGTATTGCTTAAATCTTACCTTATTACATAAGAATGCCAAAAATCTCTCTGGTAGCTTCTACGAGAGCCACTGCTAACCCCCCTGTGTGGCACCTGGTATTCCCATCTGTCTCCAATCCAAGTACTAACCACGCCCAATCTAGTTTAGCCTCTGAGAATGGGCAACAACAAGCAGTAAACTTTGTAGTGTCTCGCCAAGTTAATCTGCCATCTGCAAGTTCATGCGCCAGTCTAATCTATGATGGCAACCAAATAAAAATTAAAGCTCCTATATTAAACAAAATGGATTCTTCTATGCTGTAAGCCATGTTATAATACAGTTACCTCCTCAAAAACCTACATGGAGTTGTGTTTTGTTTCATTCATGCATGTTTGAGTAACACTTTATTATTAGTCTGTCTACATCTTCAAACTCAAAATGCTCTGTCCCACCTTGTGATGTCATGAAGCAGTAGTTTTCAAGTTAACAACCTTCAACCTTTGGGTATGTAGAGACTGACAATTCCAGGGCTGAAATTATCCAAATGATTCTAGTGAAGGTGTATGGAGTTTAAAAACACAGTGGAGTTTTCCCTGTATCACCACATGACATCAAAAGGTGGCAATGTTTTCTGTTTGAGAGAAGAACTCAGCCTAAATATGCAGGATCTGTGTATTAAACATGTGAATGAAACAAAACACAAATGTTTGTGATGTGGAAACAACATTATAACATAGATCAGAGAATAGTCTAATATGGGCCCTTTAATTTTACAAAAGAAATGTTGTGTCCTTCAGTTTATAGATTACTAGGTGACCAGTACTTGCTCTGAACTAAATGAGCACGGCTGTGGAACAGTTTGACTAATTCACCTGCTATGCCTGGTCTAATCTTAATTCCTTGAAGCTTTTCTCGTATCTTAAATCTGATTAAGGATATTGTTTAAATTTACCTTAAAGAAGGAACAGTGTGTGACAAGTTAACATGGAAAGACCCTATTCCTATTACTTTATATTACTGGGGGGCCATGTGAAGCTTCTTGCCCTGAGCCCCCAAATTACTGTCAGATTGCCTGATACTGTCTAATGAAGTCTGTTCAATATGTATTTTCAATTATTCCCTGGGTCTTGCATGAGCTAGTAACATATTTCATTCATTATTTCAATTAGAGTAAAGAGGAAGGAGATGATGTGGTAACCTGTCTGAATTTACATGTCAGACTTCCCAGGATAACTCTGCAAATTGGATTACATGCAGCGGGATGTCATTCACCGCCACACGGGCAATGAGGATTAGACTCCAATAATCTTCACAGACAGACAACGCGCAACACAGGGAGAAGACGGAGCAAAAGTTTGGATCTATTTCTTTAAAAAGTTGGAAGTGAAATGTCAGAGATGAACGCGGATAAGCTGGAACAACTGGTGAAGCGCATGGAGGAGACTCTAGCGGAGATGGAGCAGCTCAAAGTGCACTGTGGGAGGCAGACTGAGGAGCTGAGCCAACTGGTGGTGGAACTCCGCAGGGAAAACCAGGATCTCCTGGAGAAATACAACCAACTTTGTGCTGAAATGAAAGAAGCAAAGGAGATCATCGACCAACTGCAAGATACTAAGTACGCTTTCAACGCCAAGGAACGCCAAGCACAGAAGCTAAGCAGACAGCTCTGAAGGAATACATGGGAACAAGTGTGGAGGTGGATTTGACCAAAGACTGGCCCAAGAAGAGTTTGAAAGGACGGACTGGGTGGGCAGAGGGAGCTAAAAATGTTCAATTGAGAGGCATGTTCTGTTAACATATGCATAGGCCTACATTTAAGAGGTGAATGTAAAGCACAGTAATTTAAACTTGTGGTTTAGGGCTACTTTTAAAGCTATGACTAGACTTAACGATTATAGGAAAACTCAGAGGTCTTCAAGGAAAAGAACCTTACAGAAAGGTATTGTGCTAATTAAAAGTGTGTAATTAAAACAACACGCTTCGTTGACTAAAGGCTTCTCTGACCAGTAAAGATTTTATGGGATGAAAGTATTTTTAGATGGGCTACATCAAGAGAAGTAGGTGGTCATCTATTCTGGGATTTGGAACAGGTAAAAGTACATGATTATCTTCAAGGTGACATAAGATCCCCCTATATGTGTCTATGTTTAGGCCTATACTGTATATGTTCAAGTGAATCAGTGAAAAGTGCAAATATGATAAATGCATGTTGTTTTATTGAGATGTGTTACCAAATATTGCAAAATTTTGAAAAAAATCATATAGACATAGTCCAGTTTCCAGTCAACCTGAAAATCTGAATCCACTTTAATAATATGCTGTCAGGTAGTGGCCATTTTACTTTCCAATAACACAGTGACATGTTTATTCCAGGAGCCATGCATTAGGGGTCTGTCTCTTTATAAGTGTTTGATTCACATCCAAACCAAATGAACTAACTGTGATGGTCCAATGAACATAAGTAGCACTTCAACTTAACACTTATGTTTTACTGTCAAATCCCCTGTAATTATTATTGTGCTCTGAAGACTCTGAAGGATTTCACTGGCTGGAATTAATAAGACAGTTATGGACTAGTAGTTGTGACGAACACTGAAAACAAAAACAGTGGCGTGTGTTTTTTTAGTCTGAGGAATGAAAAATATGTTGTGTATTTTGTAAGTTTAAATAGATTACATTCATAAACAATAATACAATGCATAATTAGGATAGCAATTGTACTGGAAATTACTGAGTATTCTGGTGACTCAAACTTTGTTGAATTTAGACCTTAGATGCTTAGACTTACATTAAAAAGATCAGTTTAATGCCATACTGTGAAGGTTGATAACAATAACTGGATCAGACCTTTTGTAATAATCATGCATCATTTTGAGCTCGGAGTAGAACTGCTGCTCCTCCACGTTGAGAGGAGCCAGCTGAGGTGGTTAGGGCATCTGTTCCTTGAGGTGTTTCAGGCATATACTACCACAGCAGCAGGCCCCGGGGAAGACCCCTGGCCTGGAAACGCCTTGAGATCCCAACAGAGGAGCTGGAGAAAGACTCTGGAGTGAGGGAAGTCTGGGAGTCCCTGTTAAGATGGCCGCAATCTGTTCCCGGATGCTCTTTAAATTATTTATATTTTTTGCTTTTTGTCATTATAGACTCTATACTCTATATGTACATTTTCTTTTGCACAGCTATAGTTCAAAACAACCATTTTGACATTACCATTAAACAATATCTCCCACCTTCACCTGAGCTGTAACTACAAACAGAAACAGTTTGCCTTGGCCTAAACACTGTAATTGCTGTAATTGTAACCAGAAATATAAAATGTGTGGCTGAACAGGACTGAAGGTGTGAAAGCATGATGAAAACATGCTGTTTTAATGGCCCATAACATTTTAATTACTCCAAAGAAACTTACTGAACATCTAAAAACGTACCATATTTTTACTTTTTTCCACAACTACATAACTTTGCATAATTTGGGTGCAGTTCTTTCGGCTTTGGACAAACCTCACCTCCCAAAGCGATCATGACACAGGAGGGGTGTGTGGCTATGAATGGCTAAACTTAGGTGTGGCTTTGAGGTTTTTACTTTAAAACCACAAATATTCACGTTTCTGTGGCGTTTCAAGTGATTTTAACATGTTCACAAAACACAGTGACTTCACAGCTGTCATATATGTTTAAGTGGAAGACAATAATTCAGATCAGGCAGATTTAGATGCAGTAATCACAGAGCAGGACGAGAAGCACCAGCCCTCACATTTTAAACAAAAGACACTGTAGATTAATGGCTTCAAAACAATTATATTTAAGTAAGTGTACAGTTTAACTTTATTGGAAAAGTTTTATGGAGAAACAAACTAAATTTCATATTGTAGGCTTTATAGCTCCAGACAATCTTAGAGAATATTTAGTCTTGTGAGTACCACCAAATCTCCACCAGGCTTATAACAGGACTAGGTCTAAACTAGGGCTAAATCAGGACTAAAAATGTAATATTTGGTCTACCTAGGAATCCAGCAGCACCTTACTACAAACACTGTCCAGTAGACTAACTGAGAAAAGCAAATGTAAAATGAGATTTGAGTTAAGTTTCTAGGCTTTTTTTTTTTTTCAATTTAATACCATGGCTGTGTTTACAACTCACCATTGACTGCGGGGCAAGTGTTAAATCATCTTTACCGGAGTCATATGAAGAAATCACAGTAAACTAATCATTGGTGCTTCTCAGTGAGTGCTCCTGCTTTGGTCGAGACCCTGTTATAATTCCCCGTTCATTCATAATCTTCAGGATTTTTTTTTTAATCTGAACATTTGGCACTGATTTACAGTTTAAATTACAGCCTTTTCACCGGACCCCAGGCTTTGAAGGAAGCTACCCTTCTTGAACGGTTATAATGGCATTACGCGCGCGGAGAGGGAGTGCACAAAAATAACGAGGTTGGTCAGAGCGAAGTGGTAATAAAGTTCCCCCAGTAAGACATCAAGGGTAAATATGGCGACCGTACAACAAACGAACACGCTCATTAACTGTTATTTTTACTGTGTTAAATGACAGACTACATGTAAACAGATCCCGAGGAGGGGGTTGTCGTGATTGGACCGTGTGCGCGCGGGTTAAAAGCGCAGTGGTGACGCACAGAGGAGGCTGTATCCCTCGGGACTCGGAACTTTCTCTCTCGTGCGCTGTTTTCCATTTGGACGCGAGGCACAGATAAAACTATTGTCCATTCAGAAACCCGTGGCGTATAAATCCTGCTCAACTTTGGCTGCGAGTTATTTCACCTGACAGATCAAACTCGGGACACAACGCAACTGCGCGCACAGAGAGAGAGAGAGAGAGAAGTGCCTCTACAGCGGCTACAAGACCGCATCCCAAACCACTGCAACACAGTAAGTGACCAGTTTCTACTGCAGTCAATTAAACTCATGTTTTAGGGTAACTTTTTAGTCAAACGTGTAGATTTTACGCAACTTGCTGACAGAGGTAGGCTAATGAAAAGTTAAGCATATCCTAAAGCTACTGGCATGCTGATATTGTGAGTGAGGTTAGAACATTCAAACATTGGAAGTATTTGATTTGTTTACTAGTCTAATAGGCTACATGATCAACTGTATTTTGTACTGAGTTGATTCAAAGATTCAAAGATCTTTCTAAATCTTCTGAAAGATCATCTGACATTCCCCCGCCCCATATATATTAAACTATCAACAGATCTGGGAATTGCACAGTTTACCTTTTATCCTTATTAGATTTGACTGAAATCGCCTTTATAGTATGGATGTTTTAGCATTTTCATGATGTAATAGTAGTAAAACTGTTTAAGTTCATTAAGTTCATTCACCATATTAAAAGCCTATTATCAGTTACCAATAATAAAAGCCTATTATCTTAATCCTGTTCTCTCCAAGATATGAGGATCGTGAAGATTTCCTGTCACTACATTTTGACAAATTAATATCTTGAGGGAGCACATGGATCAGTATTTTGAATGGAACCAGACAGTTCATACAAGACAGTGCATGTATTCTGCTGACTGACTTGTAATTGTTAATCGGACTGAATTAAATGACTGTAATTGCCTTGGGCTGTGCCATGATGAGGGTGTGAGGTACAACTCAACGCCATGCAGGAATTTTACAGTTTATGTTGTTTACTATGACTCAGTGACCAACCAAATTGCCTTCAAATTGGTAGAGTTGTTTGTCTATACTTTTGGCCCAAATGTAATTAGAGGTGGGTATGATTTTGCACTCTTCTGGTGTGCATGCTAAACTTTAAATGTAGTAAGAGGCTATAAAAAGTTAGTTTAGTTTCAGTTTTTGTTCCCTCTGGCTGTTCTGTTTTGGAGTAAATTTTTGCATTGCTGGAATAGGTCCTTTAAAAAGTTATAAAAAGTTAGTTTAGTTTCAGTTTTTGTTCCCTCTGGCTGTTCCGTTTTGGAGTTAATGTTTGCATTGCTGGAATAGGTCCTTTACTGATTCAACCTTCTAGATTTCTCCAAACTAAAGACTATATTATGGTTTACTGATGGTTTACTATATCACAGTAATATTCAGTTCATATTATGACAATTTATTCTCTGTAGCTTCCATGTAAGAAATCTAATCTGAACTCCAGAATGTATGTTGGTCTAAAAATGTCACTTTAAACTGTACTGACTAAAATATTGATATTGTCCTCTGAATAAATAACAATAAATATGACTGTGTAATAGATACAATTATGTAAATGCACTTTTAGACAGTATATTTGATTCTGATAAAGTTATGCATGTAGGAACCCACAATACACTAAATACAATACTAGTGTTGTACATGCAAAAGTTTGTAGAGTTGTGTTTCACAGGAAAAAGCCACTTCATCTGACAAGTGAGACGAAATTAGATGGTATACTTTAAAGCTGCTCTATGCTTTTCTCCAATTCAATATTATGTCTTTGCATGTAATGTTCCACAAGATAGCATTAAATATACCGATCTCCATGGAGACTAGCACATTATGACACAAGGCTACAGTTACAGGTTAGATCTGCGGAGAACTTGCCCAGAGTAAAACTGTATGTTGCACAGAGCATCTAGTTTTGGTTTTGATTTTAAAATGAAAACAAAACAAACAAACAAAAAAAAAACATTAGTGCTTAAATGATTATAGGCATGTTTGATCTTGGTACAAAAATGGTTGACGTCTCTCTTAACCACATAATTGCCATGTCCTTAGTTTCCATATTGTTAATGGTACTCCGCTCATTTGTTGATTATAATTACTTCAACTTGAGTGATAGTATTTTGAAGCAACATTTTACTCACTTTCCTTTTCCTGCATTGCTTTTTCACAGTAGCAGCTGGTTGTGGTGGCTCTGAACCAAACCACAGACCACTAGCGATGATGTTTTGTTTTACAATCCTTACACATTTTTAAATCTACTCCTAAATCACTTTTACATCCTCGGATTCAACAGATTTATGAACTTGGCTTCACTAGGGGAAGCATTTAACCGTAGATAATTGTCTCCCAGCCAATTCTTAAAGCATCTCCATTATTTGGTTGTGTAATATTGTATTGTTTAGTGGGACCAGAAGTCAAGCGTGTCGTAGTGAACTCTGGAGACCCTCTGATGAATGGTGGTCCATGTCAAACCTCCATGATGGCTTCCTCTCTATGGCTGCCCTGACTTGTTTCTGTAAAACTTGCCTCATGTCTTGGTGCTCATTAGTCACAATGACTAACTCTGAGTGTCTGTGTTTTCTCTTCCAGGGAACAATGAAGATGCTCCTGCCTTTGGTCGCCCTACAGCTGCTCCTGGCTCTGGTGCACTCGGTGAATTTTATTTATTTATTTATTTTTAATTTACTTAAATTTCCAAGAGTAGTAATACAAAACCTCTAAATGCCACAGTGTTAGAAAATAATAAAAAATAAGAAATAAAAAATAAAAACAATAAAAAGAAAATACAAAAAACAATGAGCAGCAAAGTCTAATTTTGTGTTTACATTTTCTTTGCACTACTACTGCTACTACTACTACTAACATATCACACTTCAAAATTTCTTATTATGACAGACCTACCATAAACATGCAAAAATATCATACTGCCTCCAAGAAGGGTTGTCAAAACAAATGAAAACCCAGATACTAGATACTGTACTGATATCAAAACTAGATACTCTTGCACCCAGAGGGCTGTACATTGCATTATTCACTCACTCCATACTCACTGTTAGTCATCAACTGCCAAGGGGTAGACTGACGGAAACAAAACTGCCTATTTGCAACGATTACCCCAGAACTAGAAGATCTCTGGTTCAGTCCAAAGTCTGACAAAATTTTACAACTTGCCATGCTATGTCCCTAAATTGTCCTAAACTTTGTATACATTTGGTAATAATTAACATAAAATTACAATATTTTGTTCCTGTGTTTTTCCATTCTTGTAGTTAGTTGCCATCCTGCCTACCTCACCACCCCTATTTTGCCATCGGATACATTGGGGACCCCATGTGGATCCCAAGATTGGAAATCACTATTCTAAATTACTAAACCAAATCTTATCAACCATACCCTCTTTGTTCTTTACAACACATACTGATTGAGATGCCTGTATTCTAAACCTGTATTCTATACACAGGCTCCTGGAGGAGACTCGTGGGATGCCTGGGGCCCTTTCGGAGAGTGCAGTCGGAGCTGTGGCAGTGGAGTCACCATGAGGACCAGACGCTGCATCACACACAGGTCTGGACTTTTCTGTTTTAAGAAGAACTACTAAAATAAACTGAACAAAATCAACATTTTTGAGTTCTCATTTTAAGTTCTAAGAAGAAAGGGAGAAAGAGAAAGGGGAATTGAAAATAGATTACTTTAAGTGCAGATCAGGGATTTTGTTTTTCTAATTATAGATAGATAGATGTTTTGGGTTTTCATAGTAAATGACCCCATCCAACCTTAGCACCTGCACTATCTGTCCTCCATACTCTTGACCTCCCTTTGGCAGCTCTAACCACAGCATCCTTTTGTCCAAATATTTACAACACTCAGTCTCTGCCCAAACCTCCTTGTACTTTTCTCCTAATGGTTCAACCTTAGCTGCCCTCTGGAGTAACATTTGTACTCAAAACAGGTGTTGCCTCATCAAATAGTTTTAATACATCACAGCACAAATATTCAACTTCCACACCCTGCAAAAAGCAGTATCTAGGTAAGTTAAAATTACTTTTAGAACATCTTACTTTATTTGAGTAGATTCAAGATTGTGTATTTCCTAATTCAAGTAACATTAGATTTTGTTTCTTCTTTTAAGTGCAAAGTGTTGTTGTTTTTCTAATCTTAAGTGTAGCAAGATGTATTTTCATATTTTAAGTACAAAAAGAAAAAGTCTTGTTTCATTGGTAGATCATTTTACTTATCAAGTGAAATACTCACATCATGATAAAAAGTTCTTAATTCAAGTAGATTTAAATTTGAGTTTAGTGTTTGTAGTACATTGATTGGAGACTTTGCAATACATTCTTTCTTCACTGGATAAAATGGCCTACATGTTACCCATTTCACAACATTACATGCTTAAAAGTCCCATGTTTAAGGGAGAAAACCAGCCTGAAGATGACTCACCATAACCAAGAAATAGATGTATTTTACCAGAAACCATATATATGTTGCTTCATTACATCAGTAATGCAATTTATACCATCTGTCATGACACATTTTCCTTGTAGAGTTGAGATTTCCTGTGCTTTTGATTGACATAAGATCCGGGGTTATGTGTGGTCAATGTTCCATAATAATATGTTCAAATATTTGATGCAAACACATGTGATTTATCTCTATAGGACATGTAGCCACTGGGCAAAGCATGTAATGAAATAACTTTTTCATGTCAGAACATCTGCCTCCTTTGATTTTTGCTTCAATTACAGGGATATCTCAAATCATGTGGTCTGACCTTTTAGGCTGCTATTTGTAATTCATTCTAGTTTTAACCAAGAAAACGTATAAGAAATAGAAATACAAGGGTTGCACGATTTTTGAGAATAATATAATTAAACATTTTTCGAAGACGATTAGGTTCAAATCAGGATTCAGTTCACAAATCACATTTTTAACATGCCTGGAAGCATTAACATTGGAAATTTGAACTGCTAAGCTAATATAAGATTACCATGGATTTCATAAAATTCATAAAATCACGCAGAATATTTTGTTTTTTACAGACGAAATTTTATTACCTAAACAAGTAGTTTTCTGCGATTTAATAATTGGGACACTTCACATTTTGATCCAGTGTAGATATAATGTGTAGCTGTATAAATACTGTATGTTGATACCACTGTAGACTTGTTTTGAACCATTCTTCAGGTGGCCCTTTGCTGAGTCGACAGTGCCCTGCCTTTTGCATCTTTCACTAAATAAACACTATTATATTTTGTCTGAATCACGCCTCTAACTACTATAATCAGACTGATGTGGAGTTGCAGTGTAATTGTATGTATTTTAGGGAATTTCCATTTTACTTTAAAATTATTTCAGCTCCAAACTATGACCTAAGATTTATCCTACATATTTAGCTGTATTGATTTGTTCTTGGAGGTGTCCACATCTGTACAGACATGTCTCAGAGCCTGTTATGTTTTTGGGGCTTAAGGGCAGGTACTTTGGGAGGTGACTTAACCATGAGTTTTCAGAATGACTGGAAGGAAAGGCGGTGGAACAGAAATCCACTGTCTCACTTCAGAATGAGCTGTTGTTTGTGTAAGATTTAGGCCTTGAGGGCAGAGACTCCTCACCACAGATATAAGGAGCACTCAGCTGTGGATAATCTTTACAATAATAGATAATAATTTAGACCCGTGTCTGTCTATACTTTCAAGTGGGGAGATTAGTAGGCCAGTAGTGCATGGATTATCTCAATATAATGTTATAGTGTTTTTTATTGGGTTGTCAAAGCAAACTGTCTGTCTTTAGTGTTTAGTGTGTGTTTAACAGAAACGTGAACTGACTTTCAGTAATCTGAAAAATGCTAATAATATTTTCTAAAATAACATAAATTTCTCTCATTCATAACTTTTACAGATTCTGATTTGAGGCATACATCACAGTCATAAAGTGTATATAAATGGAAATCGCTAACCTGCTAGCTGCTGCATTCCAAATAGGAAGTGTTCACAGGCACACTTCCGGCTCCTTCGACTCCAATTGACTTAAAATTGAGAAATTGTCACCCCATCTCTCTGTAACTCCTGCAGTGAACCTTGTCATTTTAGCTTTAAAATGTTATATGAACATGACCCTGGTGTTTTTATTTCGCTATTATGTTTGTTAATAAATTCCTGTTACTAATATGGATCCTGGCTCCAAATTCGGCACTATAACCGCTATTTTCATGAGCTTGACTGGATCCGAATGCTATGGGTGACGTCGCACTCCCTTAGTCCACTTCTTTATGCAGTCTATGGTCACAGTGCAGCAGACTAGCAGCTTTAGTTTCTTGTTTTCAGGAAGAACTAAGCCGGAGGTTAACCAGATATCTTCTTTTTCACATCCAGAACTGATGGAGGTCACAACTGTGTAGGACCTGAGAAGTCGTATCGCTCTTGCAACATTCAGGTAAATTTAAGCTTTCTCTCATTATTCAACAATACATACTGAGAAACAGCTTTAGTAAAAATTGCATAGAGTTTGTGTTTCAGGGGCTACTGTTCCTATGAAAATAACTGACATTTTACATTCTTTGATGGACTCAGGACTGTCCCGAGGGCTCCAGGGATTTCCGTGAAGAACAGTGCTCCCAGTTTGACGGCACAGACTTCCAGGGCAAACGTTACAAGTGGCTGCCTTACTATGGAGGTCTGAATCTGAATAATAATAACACATGAATACAAGACAATGATATGGTATAATAAATACTCTGTCTGACTTTATAATTGATGCTTTTGTTTGTGACAGCTGAGAACCCATGTGAGCTAAACTGTATGCCTCGAGGAGAGAACTTTTATTACCGCCATCGCAGTGCAGTGGTGGATGGGACACCCTGCCACCCTGGACGCAACGACATATGTGTGGGCGGAGTTTGCAAGGTACAACCATATTCAAACATACATTAAAGCAGCAACTTTTTTCTCCTAGTGACCCTTGTTTTACCTGTTGGTATGTTGACTGTCCTAACATCCTACCTAATAAGCCGCTCTCTCATGAGAAAACACATACTTATTTCAAGGTTAAAGATACTTCATAGATGCCATCCCTTTATTAATATTCACACATTTTGAATATTTTTTCTTAGCCCATTGCTATTATGTTGTCCTTGTCATCTGATTGCATGTGGTTATAGAACAAAGATGAATTTCTAACTCAGCTATAAATTCTTTTCAAGATGCTTTCTGTAGCATATTGATATATTTGCAGTTATGGCATTCTAGTTGTTACATACTGTTCCTTTAAGACAAGAATATAAGACCTCAAGCAATTACTGAACATAAAAATGAAATATGGAATTTGCGTTTATTGTCTCCTGTTTCCATTGCAATGCTCAAATATGCAAATAAACCATTTTAATAGGCACCCGTCTCCTATAGTATATGTTAAGGCCTTAAATCTCTCTATGAATTGTCAGTCTGAACTTGCCCTCTGTACCTCCCTGCAGAAATACCCCCCTGTTTTTACACACTTTTATTGTCTAATAACTCAGATGTCACGCTGTGTTTGTGAGCCTCCGGAGGGAAACAGGAGCAGTGTAAATTGGATAAGTGCATGTTGAAAAATGAGTGAATCCTTTAAGCAAGACACCTCTTAAAATCTTATAGGACACACATAGACTGTAGAGTAGCATCATGTAGTTTGTGCATTTTAGAATAATATTTTCAGTGATTTAGAAAAAAATTATAAAGTAAAATTAAAGGTACACTATGTAACTTTTCTGACTGCAGACCCACATCCTGCTAGAGATGCTATTTCTTTGCCTAGAATGTTCCACAATATGCCATTAAACTTAGCATGTGGTGCCACCATGCCAAGTGACAGGTCAGATCTGTGGAGAGGCAAGCCTGGCATGTTTCTCACCTTTAACTGAATAAATGCAAGTTAAATGCCATGACAGCGACAGTGGAATATATTGCTACACAATAACATCTCCATGGAGACAAGTGGGTGTCAGGCCCCTACCAGAAAACTTACACAGTGCACCTTTAATAAATGTGGGAAATAGTTATCAAAGTTGCACTATGTAACTTTTCTGACAGGACATTCATCACCCAGTGGTGTCCATGGTGATGTTATTGTTGTTGTACCTGGAACAGAGGTGCTCAAACTATGTGGCCCTCAGAGCCCTTTCCTTTGCCCTCTGGCTTCCTGCTAAATTGGCCAACTTTTTCTTGAAAAGTATTTTTACTGCAATATTGACATCTCCTGTTATTATAAACTTATCAGACTTCTTAGTGTGAAATAACTGAATTCATATGAGGTGTCCCTTTAAACCCTCACATAGTTGTTGAGTCTATATGTTTGGCCTTGGACCGGATAGAGACTAAGCTGTATGAAAATGTTCAGTGCAAGTCTAACTTGAATAGTGCAATACAATCTCATAATGATTTGTTAATATCAGAAGCTCTTCTCGTTTCATTATGATTCCATGTGCTGATAATGCGAACTATGTGGACTTTTTCCTGTTGTGCTCACAGCTGCTGCTCAGAGCTGATTTAAAGACCTCTGTCTGTGATCCAATATTTACTTTCCTGGTTTTGTAGTTGGTGAAGTTCCCAGTCACTTTTGGTTTTTGTAACATCAAATTTAATCTCTTTTGGTTTGGCTCTCATTATATTATGAAATTGCATGACTGGACATTTTTATCTTTCCTCATTTTGTTTTGGCCTGTCTTTTTTTTTTAATTCTGGGGAAAATAATGGTTCTTTTGGCAAAATTCTAAACTAAGAGATCATTAGCCTTGCTTTTGTTATATTATTCAGTATAATTTATCATTTCTGACCACACTATTGGATGGTTCTCGTTTCAGCGTCTTGGTTGTGACAATATGCTGGAGTCCTCTCAGCAGGAGGACCCCTGTCTGCAGTGTGGGGGCAACGGCCAAACCTGTCGCCAAGTCAAAAGCACCTTCTCCACACGGGACCTGCCAAATGGTACAAATTTAAATTTAAATTTAAATTTTATAAATCATTTAAATTTATGATTATATATATATATTTTTACAGGCTACAACCAGATGTTCATTATTCCCGTTGGCGCAACCACCATCAGCATCAGAGAATCAGTGGCCACTCGTAACTACCTGGGTTAGTATTTCTAGTATTTATTTATTTATTTATGCACTTGTACTAAATAATAAATTCATTCACATTCATATGTTAATAGATGAAAACAAAAATGGCATAATCGTACTGCACCTTTAAAGTCCCAAGTTTGACTAAATGCTCATGTAATATAGATTTTATACTTACTATATTAAGTAATACCAAATATCTGCCAATAATTCTCTCTTCAGCTATCAAGAACCTGAGGGGTGAATACTACCTCAATGGACACTGGGTAATTGAGTTCTCCAGAGCCACGCCCATTGCTGGGACCGTCCTGTACTACCAGAGAGGCGCAGAGGGTGACAACGTGCCAGAAACTATTATTGGTCGTGGTCCCACCACAGAGCCTCTTGTGGTTGAGGTAAGTACTTAAAGATTTATGCTACTTTTTGCTTGTTTATTATTTATGTACATGTGTTTATAATGTGTGTTTTTTGTTTTAGTTGATTAGCCAAGAGCCAAACCAAGGAGTCGACTATGAGTTTTACCTTCCCATTGGACGCTCCACTCAGGGATACTATTGGAGTTTTGGGTCCTGGTCGACCTGCAGCAAAGACTGTGGATCAGGTCTGATCATTTAAAAGGCTCATATTACTCTATTTTCTTTATTATTTATTTATGTTGTTGTTTCCTCATCATAAAACATAACTAGAGTTGTATTTTGTTTCATTCACACATGTTTAACACACAAACCCTACACATTTAGGCTGAGTTCTTCTGTCACACAAAAAAACACTCTGTTGCACCTTGTGATGTCATGTGATGATACAGGAAGTGCTCCACTTTGTTTATAAACTCCATATACCTTCACTAGAATCATTAGGATGAATTCAGCCCCAATTGCCAATCTCTACTGAATTAAAGGTAGAAGGTATACAGCATTTTTAACTTAAAAGATGTAGAAAGACTAATAATAAAGGATTACTCAAACATGTGAATGAAACTAAACATAACTCTAGGTATTTTTTGAGCAAGTAGCAGCATTATAACATGGCTTAAACCTCACAAGAGTCTATTTTGTGTAATATAAGACCTTTAATATCATATTTAACCAGTACTAGTATTAGTTATTTTTCTTATGCTGTATTTTATGTATGTTTACCAGGTTACCAGACCCGTTCAGTGTTCTGCACCATTGATCAAGAGGTGTACCCTGACTACCTTTGTGCCTCTTTGACTCGGCCACAGAGCAATAGAACCTGCAACCCCCAGGAGTGCCCACAAGTCCATAGGTAGGAAAAAATATTACAAGTTTTGGTTAAAAGATAGTAGCGAGACAATGTTTTTATAAATATGCAGGTTTTGAATGAACCGTTGTGTACTGACTGTTTTAAAAAGGATGGCCTACCTCTATCCACCAAAGTTGTGGGCAAAAAAGAGCAGAACACTTGTGTTCAGGTAACTGTGTAGTCAAATCTAGTTCTAGAGTAGACACATGTCTAACAATAGTAGAAGCCTTATTTAAATCGGTTTAAAAGGTAATCTGTCTTTTAGTCTGTGTTTGTGTTTTTTTTTTTTACCTAATCAATGTCATATTAGCAAAAATAATATAACTTTTAATCAATGTGCCATTAACTTCGCTACTAACTAGTTTTAGTGGCTTTAATAGCTTTCCTTGTGAAATTATGTAGTACATTATCTGTTTATATTATTATTTAGTTAGTTTTAGGTAGCCAAATGTTTATCATTTGCTTATGGCATTAAATGTATCTATTTTGCATTTACTCAACTACAGGCAAATGCCTTAAAAAACAAAACAAAAAACAAGACAAACAAACAAAAAAAAGCAAACATGCATTCTTACTGTGAGTGGGGTCACCTCTGCACAGATGTATGACATCTCCATGAAGAAAACCAGAAAACTGATAATGCACTTTTAATGTTATCAATAATTATGATAATCTTGCTTATTTTTCCTGAATCCTAAATTCCTATATCTCTGATTCATCAGCTGGAAGACAGGTGAGTGGAACACCTGCTCGGTCACTTGTGGAGGTGGGTCTCAGGTGCGGACCGTGCAGTGCATTACCCAAGATGCATCAGGGCCCCGTGTGGTAGAGGACGCTGTGTGTGCTGCTTACTCAGAGGCGCCTCCTACATTGCAAACCTGCAACATGCAGCAGTGTGCCAGCTACCGCGCAAGCAGGTGGAGTCCGGTGAGTGGACAAAAACGCTACTTATGTAAAATGAATTCATTTTCTGCTTATTTTAGAATTTTAAACATAGTAAAAAAAATAGTTCTACAATTATTAATTTATAGTCTTTCTTCTTATTGCTCAGTTGCATATGTGCAAAACTTCATACTCAAACTCAAATTTGGAGACAAATTCCATATCAGATATAGGAATTTATTTACAGACAAAATAGCAAAATAAAACCACCAGAATCATGTAGAGTGGGTTAATACAAGCAACACAACAAGACCAAAATGAGGAGCCTGACAACAGCAGTTACAGTGAGAGTGGCGACGGTTTTTCAATTCAAAGTGAACTGGAACTGGAGTCGATGGAGCAAGAAGTGCTCCCATGCTCACTTCCTATTTGAAGCATTTCAGCTTGTGGCTTAGTAAGTCCATTTATATATACACAGTTCATGGTTGTACTTGTACTAGAATAGTATGTGAGGTTGAACTCCTGCATTGATTATTTGGCCTACTGGTATTTAGCCCATTAAACCAATAAACATGCTCTCCCTCCATTACAGTCCCTTTACACACAATAGATTTGATTCTAATCTTATTGTTTCTCCAGTGCTCTGCCACCTGTGGGTCTGGAGAGCAGACTCGTGAAGTGACGTGTATTGGGTCTGGGGGCATGAGACTGGAGGAGACGGCCTGTGCCACGCTGCTGAGACCACCCTCCATCAGAGCGTGTTCTGCTGCCCCCTGTGCCCGGGAGGTCAGCTGGCATGTCGGAGCATGGACACTGGTGAGATAATTCAAAACATGAACAAATGCTTAGGAGTAGATATAAGCTAAGGTTTTATCACTGTATTTGAATGAGCATTGTATTTTTATATAGAACATAAGACCGGAGCAAAATGTCTGTTTTTGAATAGCATTTTCTTTAGTATTTAGAAAGATGTGCTGTCAGATGTGTTTCTTATAACTTGTCCATTTGTAAATGTCCTTGTTATCCAACTTGTCCCTGTAATTTTAGTTTGCTGTCTCCTTTTGTGTGCTTTGAAAATATTTACTTTACATTTGAATGGATATCAAACACTTATGAGATTGTGAGATAGATAAACTGTTTTCTTCGGAAAATTACTAATGTCTTAAGCTGTACACAAACCCATTTTCAAACAAGAAGTAATAGTAATGAACAGAAGAATTCACTTATTTTTATTGGTTATTATTATTTAGTTTCCTGTTTTTATATGCAGTGCTCGAGGAGTTGTGGTTCAGGATCCCGGGAGCGACAGGTGATCTGCTCGGACCGGGAGAGACACCTGTATCCTGTGGGACAGTGCAGCGCACAGCCCAAACCCGCCACCGTGGAGCGCTGTAACACCCAGCCCTGCTACAGTCCACAGAGTAACAGCTGATAGTTCCCTCTTGCCTCATCTCATTACTTTTTCCTCACTTCCTTCTCCTTGATTACCCTCCTCGATTCTGCAGGAAATGTGTGAGAAAATCTCACCTACAGATGAGACGTATTGAGGAGAGAGAATATAAACTCCTCACTGAAACCAGTAAAGTTTGATTATTTTATCTGATGTCTCTCTCCTGAAGCCTATCTCAAGTTTACTTGTTCATTCCATTTTCTTTGGGACAGCACTTAATGTGATACATTTGATTGACAGTTGACAAGTGGAGGATAGAGGAGAGGAACCTAAGGAGCGGGAAGCGAGGAAAGAGAAATGAGAGGAGGCCTAAATCTGTAGCTTTTTCAAAGATCTAATAATATCTAATATTGTTCTCATAGGTGTCCCCAGTATTCAGGACCCACGTGGACACGACAGCACACAGACAAGCTTCCAGCCCTATGTCCCAGAATCAACAGGTGGGTCAACTTATGTGACTTATTATGTATTGTAGTAGTATTATTAGTAGTATTATGTAGTATGTATTATGTATGGCTTATGTATTATGAGTTACTTATCATTGTACAACCAAGTAATACAACAAAGTTACATGTATTGTTGCCTATAAAGTTGGAATATTTTCTTTTAACCAGTTACCTTCTTTTTCTATGTGGTCACCTTTTTTCTGAATACATAGTTAGTGCATGGCTTTTCTTCATGGAGATGTTATTGCGTTGTCTGGAATGTTTCACAGTATGGTATTAAATCTTTTTATCTTCACCAAAGCAGACCAAGTTACAAGTCAGATCTGTGGAGAGGCAACTCTGCCCACATTGGAATATCTGTTTTTCTAGGTATTTCGGAGCTGTAAAAGCATCAGTAATTTAATAAATGTAAGGTAGAACTGTTTGATGTCATACTGTGGAACATTCCAGGCAGAGCAATGACATATCCATGGAAACAAGCAGGTGATGGACCCTCCACCAGAAATGTTACCCAGTGCACCTTTGATGTTGACCTGTAGACACTGTACAAGAAAAATGTTAAACTACAAAAACAACCAACACTTTTTATGCCAACTTGAAATGAGGGACAATATGTTATGTAACCCAATATAACCCAGTCACTTTGTCCCTCTGAGCGGGTCCTCCCCCCTCTGTCCTTGTTCTCTGTTGCTGTCAGCCTGATTAAAATGTTTTAGAGCCACTGAGGTGTGATACAGCACTGACAGTAGTGTTTCTGGGAAGTTAGTTTAGTTTGCGTATAGTTTTCAAAGTGATATTACGTGTCAGTAACCATGGAGATTACAGTAAGCAAGGTTTCAGATAGAAGTCATACCAGAACTAATCTGAATATGAACTTTGGTCACAATAGTCCTGTTCTGAGCCCAATTTGATCCTGAAGTAGACTAGATTTGGCCCTGGTTTAGTCCCAGTTTAGTCCATGTTTAGTTCATCTTAATTTAGTTTCAATTTCGATTTGTGTGTAAGCCCACCCTTAAAAGCTGTTTCACATGACTTTTTTGATACCTTTGTTACTATGGAACAGTCTGCTTGAGTATAGTTTATACCAATTGAGACCTATTGAGTAAATTGGTCAGAATATTGCATATAATCTCTAACATATACTTTGTTTTCTGTAGGTCGGCGTACAGCCCTCACAAATACAACCAACACAGTGGATGATCCTCATAGCTCCGCCCCCGCCATTCACTGCAGCCAGTCACGTTACGGCTGCTGTCCTGATGGTCGTACCTCTGCCGGCGGGCCACAGGGACTGGGCTGTCCACAGATCCAAACCTCTACTACACCCCAGGAGTCCTGTGTCCAGACGAGGTAGGGAGCAGCACTTGCACTGTGATTTTGTTCTTGAGATTTTGTTTTGGCATTACATTTGCAACCAAGTGAACTCTTAAATATGTCTCTTAAATATGAGACTACTGGTACTTATGTATATGTAAGAAATGTTAATAACTTGTATTTTCAAACAATGTCAACAAGAGTTAACAAGTGCAACATTTAATAAACAGTTGTGGTTTGAAGTTTAATTATTTTCTTTCCCAATATATTTTATGTTTTTTATGACAGGACATCACACTGGAAAATGGGGTAGAGAGGGGAGAGACATTCGGAAAGCTTCCAGAGTTATATACAGTATAGACAAATTCACAACAATCTAATAACAAATGAAAATTTTAATTCAAATATTTGATTTCTACATGTTTCTTAACAGCAATATTAACAAATTAATTAAAGAACAAAAGTCCACAATTGGCAAATGCTTCCTGCTGACAATTTTTAATGATTTGAACATATTTGTTTCTTGTACTGCTCCTTCAGATATGGTTTGGTTTTTCATTATTGTGGTCTATCCTTTGAAAACAACAGATAGTGTTTGATCCCTTCTGATTACATTAGCTTCAAATTATAAATCAAATGGTACCTCCCGACAGTTTGCTTTACAGTTGCTCTTATTTGAGTAGTACTGTAGTACTGTAGTTTCCCCAAATAATTATCTCTTGGACCACTACTTTTTTTTTTTTTTTTTTTTTTTTTTTTTTTAAATAATATTATGCTTATTTGAGGATTAAGCAAATTTATGCCACTCACATTTGGTTTTAGGCAAACTCAACATGTCTGTACAAGAAAAAGATCCTTAATTTAGAAGATTAATTTGGATACATAAAATGACTCCAGAAACACTGGAAGTACTCCATTCATCACCAGCAGTAACTCATAATCAGCTTTAGATGAGAACTTGGAAGCTCTCATCATAAAAATACTCACATTTAAATTTAAATAAATAAAATTAGTGTTTTCAGTGTTTTCCTATGTTTTTGTACAAACTGTTCTCTGTCTTTTTTGCAGTTATGGATGCTGCCAGGATGGAGTGACGACAGCTTTGGGCCCAAACAGAGAAGGCTGCTCGGAGCATGTGGCCCCAGCGCCCACTGTAAGAAAAACACACAAAACTCAGCCATTACAAAGCCACAGGAAATGTCCAGAACCAGACAGACCTGGTACAAGAACATGTGTGGGAGTCATCTGCACATTACAAACCAAAACATACGAGCATACTATTTTAAACTAAAACAGTGTTTGGTCTGCCTCAGAACATGGTGTCTTTGGATATTTTACCGTAGCTCCCAATTTGGACAATAATTGGCAGTTTTAGCTGTTTACTATATGACTGGCACATGGCACATATGTACAGTGGTCAGCTCTACTCCTACTCTTAGCTCAAAATGCTCTGTTCCACCTGGTGATCTCATGAAGCGGTCGTTTTCAAGTTAACAGCTGTTTCTTACCTTTTATTTAGTAGAGATTGGAAATTTCAGAGCTGAAATTATCTAAATGATTCTAGTGAAGGTGTATGGGTTTGGGTGTGTGTTTAAAAACACAGTGGAGCACATGGCATCACAAGGTGAAACAAAGTGTCTTCTGTTTGAGAAGAACACAGCCTAAATATGCAGTGTTTTTGAGTTAAACATGTGTGAATGAAATAAACACAACTCCAAGTATGTTTTTGATGAGGAAACAACATTATAACATAGATCAGAAAATAGTTTAATAATATTTTAATATGGCCCCTTTTGTCACCACTGTTGTACTATTTGTAGCATGTTATTGAATGCTGTCTCATCTCACCAGGCTGCACCCACTCTCCCGACTGAAAATGCCAGACAGTGCCGACTGACCACCTACGGGTGCTGCTTTGACCGCACTTCAATCGCAGCTGGACCCAATGGAGAGGGATGTCCCGACCCACCCAGCAACAGTATGTTCCCTCCATCATACAACATACAGAAATGGCTTTGTTTTTCTACAGTCTGCTTTACTTTTTTACTTACAAAATTGTAGTATTTTCTTATAGTTCTTTTGTAGATAATGTAAATTTTAAAAAAGTAAATGTAGAAAAAAAACATCTTACATTTTCAAATAATGTCACATGCCATCAGCTGTGTCCACCAGTGAAGCAAACAACTGCTCTTTGAGGTTTTATGTTATTTGTTCAAGATTTTTTATGCATATAAATAGATACAAATACTGTATTAATCCTGAGGCTTTAATGATAAAACATCAGAGCAAAAAATGGGGTAAAGAGAGGGGACAGATATTCAGAAAACTGCCAGAGTGAATGCTGGACCCAAACTCACAACAGTCTAACTAATTTAACTTCCTGTTTCAGTTGAGCGCTCCATCTGCTCCTTGCCCCGTGCGGCCGGGTCCTGCTCGAGCTGGACACCACGTTACCACTACGATGTCCTCACCTCTAAATGCCAACACTTCTGGTTCGGAAGCTGCCACGGAAACAGCAACAACTTCATGACTCGGGCTGAATGCCAGAGAGCGTGTCCACTTCCTGCCCCCAGCCAACAGGGCCCTGCCCCAGCTACTAGCCCAAGAGAAACGCCCTCTAGAGGCACCTCCACACCCACACGCCCCGCTTCAGGATCGGGCTCTGGCAGGGGCAGTTCTGGAGGTACAGGGGCAGGTGCAAGGGATCGCAGCATGGGCAGAGTGTTCACAGTACAGAATGGTTCTTCCCCTGGGGGTAGGTACGGGACAAATGCCGCCACTCATGCCCACAGAGCCCGTCTCTCCATGACGGCACGCCACACGCCTGAAGCTGCCGCACACACCGGCCCTGCTGCCAGGTAAGAGCAGAATATCATGGGAAATAAATGAAAGGAGTCAAATCTGTTCTACATGAAGGAAAGCAGTGAATGTGACCAAATATTCACCAAAACGCCTTAATATTTATACAGTAAGAGTTAGCAGTCAGGTGCTTTTTGCCACAAGAAATGTTTGACTATTGTGACGATATTTTTCAAACTAAGATATCTGATTGTCACATTTGAACTGGCTTGAAACCAAAACCTCATCACTCACTTGAAATGTTCCAAAAAACATTACAAAAATGGTGAATTTGAAAGTAAAACTAAAGTCTAAATATACAGTGTTTGTAAAAGTGAAGTCATTGCTACATGTTTTGTGTATTGCTGTTTTGTATATGATTTGTGTGTTGCTTGATAGGGCTGCACAATAACACTCAAACTATTGATTGGCAAACTTGAAATTAAAATACTGAAGAAAAAATAAGACCAGGAAAGCATCACAATAGCAACCTACTGGATAATACATACATTTAAATGTTTATTGTGCAGAACTATTGCTTGTGTAATCTTGCTTTGTCAAATCACTCTTTTTGTTGGTTGCTTCAAAAATCACGCTTTCATACTTGGCTTGCACCCTTTTTAGTGTTGATTTTGGACTTTTCACCTCACAACAGCCCCTCTCACAAATGGACTCTATAAGTATCACATATCTGGGAGTTTTCATTCACTGTCTATTTGTCAATGTGCATTTGGTTGTCTGCTTTTGTCACCCACTTTTTACCTCACTGTTGTCTGTGAACTAATAAAGGTTGTGCTGTGATGCTTAATGTCTCTGTCCTTGTTTGTCTGTTACTGTTTTTCGCATTTAGCTTTTGTTTGCCATTTTGTAGACTGGGAATTTTGGTGTTGATTCTTTTCTTGGGCATGTGGGAGTCACCTATCACGCATAAAACCACAAAAAAAATGTATGTGTCTTTACACTGTCTTATTTACCCAAGAATTTGATTTGAAATAAAGAAAATGGGTAAGGATCAAAGTAATAACACATGTTAAAGATCTCTTTCGTGGTCCAAAAAAACTAGTGAACCAATGATGCACATAAGGGGGAGATAGTGATAATTGTTGGTCTGATTGGTGTAATTTTCTGTTCAAAGCTGGGTTATTTTGGTGATATTATATTTATTGCTCATGTTGCAAAACCCTTTCCTTGTCTAAACCTGGTTGTGGGTCAACTTACTGCTTGCACTGATGGGGTCCTAACAGTACAGCATAAAGCACATTTCATTTTGCCATATTTCTTCATTCCTCAAATGCCCCTTTTCCTTCATTTCTTTTATTTGGCCTCATTTCACAGTTTGATCCTTGGCGGAGTGAGCATTGATAAGTCTGACCCAGACACAGTGGAGGCTCTGGTGGGGCAGAGGGTGGTCCTGCCCTGTAGAGTCAGCCCTCTGCCCTCGTCCACTGTTTCTGTGGAGTGGAGGAGAGACGGCCTCCCACTGTCCACCCACAGGTTAGTCCGTGGTTTGCAATAAAGCACTTTCTATCATGTACTGTAGTAGACTCAGATTCAGTATGTGTACAGCAATGTGGTAAGAGAAATAAACATTATATTTTGAAGTTTAATTATGGCAATAACCAAAATATGTATACATCATAAAAGGTATAAGGTAATTGTGCTCACCTCTATCTAAGAGTGGTTAATTGCTTTGTCCAGTTGACATAATTTAAGATTGGAACCAACCTGGACGACTGCAGATTACACAGAACTGTAGCTCCTATGCTCTGGTTCAATGCAAAGATTACATCACAAAATGACTTATGCCCAGTGATAGAAAAAGTATAAATTTTTTACTTAAGTAAAAATACAGATACTAGAGCAAAAAAAAAAATCAAGTAAAAGTATCACATGAAAAAATCTACATAAATAAAAGTATTAAAGTAAAAAGTAAAAATGTACTTGAAGAGTAAGAAGTAAAAGTGTTTTACGTAGATTTTGAGGTCTTATAAGGCTTCAGATGCAACTATTTTGATAAAGATTTGTGCTGAATTTTGTGAAACAACTGAATCAATAGTTTTTTTCCTAGCTGTTTTTATTGGTGTATTTTTGTGCTACAAACAGGCATAAAATATTGTTGATGTGTGAGCTATGAATAATTTCCCTCTTGGATCAATACAATTTGTCTAAGTCAAACGTGTTAAAAATAAACCCTTTAGCCTTTTCAGCAGGTCTCAAACTGTAATAACAAATACTTTTCCCTTTCAGTACAGTTAAATATGTAGTGGAGTAGAAAGTATCTGCTCTCAAATTTAGCAAAGTAAAAGTAAAGAATATCCACTGTAAAATGTACTTAAGGACTCAAATATAATTGGTATAATAACACCAATTTTGTGCCAAGTCCCTCCCTGCCCACACTGATTACTAACCCTTTCTCTTTACAGACACCACCAGCAGCCCAATGGTTCCCTGCTGGTTGGACCTCTAATGAAGTCAGACAAAGGGTGGTACCTGTGTGTGGCCACCAGAGAGCGAGAGAGAGACCACCGCTACATTTACCTGTCTGTCTCTGGTAACATGGCATTCAGTCATTTTCTTACTTTCTGAAAGCTGTGTAACATTTAGATATAAAAATGCACAATGAAATAATCATGTAGTCTAGTTTAGTAGTGACAAGGGTGTTCTACGTGTATCTCTGTTGGCAAAATATTCATGAGTTACCATGGTGACACAATGCACACATAAGCACTGTGATCTGAAAAGTTCAGAAAAACTTCAGACTGGATTCAAACAACACCTTTCAAGAGCCTGTGACCAATACGAACGATCATCTCACCATCTCAGCTTTTGTAGGTTAACAAAATCAGCTAAAATTCAGTTAAAATAAAGCTCAGATTAAACTCTATCCTGAGTAACAGAGCTTCAGACAGAGCAGTGCCCACAGTTAGCTTCACACTCCCAGGGAATGTTGATGACATCAGCTGCAAAGCCTTCCACCTCATATCCATATTTGGGACCCTTTTTGTGCAAGTTTCAGTGTTTTATATGATGCTATTTATATGAATTGGTCCTTTTTTCTTTCTTTTTTTTTTTTTTTTTTTAGAGGGAAACGTTCCTCTAGACCCCAGCTCACTCCCCAGCGACAGTCCCTCCCCAAAGTAAGACACATTTTTCCACATCACACAAACACAGATCTCTGTTTGTAGCACTTACACATGTCTCTTCTTATAGATTTAGCATTGATCAGAGTGGTCTGTCTCTGCTGGACCTGAGAGAGGGACAAACTGCTCGCCTGACCTGCACTGTGCTGCCTCCTTCTGCGCTTCAATCGGTCAATATTCAGTGGACCAAGGATGGACACTCCCTCATGGACTCAAGGTCATTTCATAAAACTATATCAGATTTATATAGTTCATATTCATATTATAACACAAAACTAAGATCCAGCACTATTTTGTAATTGTATGTTTTTTCCACATGAATATTACTTCATATTACTATTTTAGAAGTCAAACTTAAATGCACGAAAAGTGTATTGTATAACTTTTCAGTAGTGGGTCCGGAACCATCTTGTTTCTATGGAAATGTCATTGCTCTGCTTGGTATGACATTAAGCAGATCTACCTTACGTTTATTCAATTACAGGTGGTTTTATAGCTCAAAAATACCTAGAAAAACAGACATTCTGACTGTGAGAAGGGTTTCCGCTCCACAGGTCTGATCTGTAACTTGATCTGGTTTGGTTAAACTTTATACAGTGCACCCTTAAAGCTTAGTTTTAGAATATGTACGGACCAACTGGAAGTAGGGTGTAGGGTCACTTGGCTCCTCTGAATTTATTAATGGGAAACACTGACAAAGATAAAACAACAGTAATCTTACAGCAGTTGTTTGATTTTCCAGGTTTACTCATGTGTCCGATGGGACTCTGATTGTGGGTCCCCTGAGATCTGAGGACTCTGGCCTGTACACCTGCACCGTGTCCAGTCCCCAGCAGCTGGAGCAGAGGCAGATACAGCTCAGAGTGCAAGGTGCCACTCATTTCATTTCCTGTTTAAATTAAGGTCCTTTAACCAACTTAGAACTGTGAGTGAAGAACATGTTTCATAATGAATGGATGAACTACTAGCCCCGCACACTTAGTCCCTTCTGAGAAATGGCAGCAGCATGGGTTAGTCACTGGCAGCTGTTTCCACATTTTCCTCATCCAACAATGTCTCTAATTGCATTTAATTGTGTGTTCCTTGTTGTTGCTTCCTTAGAGGGCCTATAGTTGTGTTTAATTTCATTCAGACATGTTTAAACCCTGCATATTTAGGCTGAGTTCTTCTCTCAATTGGAAAACACTTGATATGGCTTGAATAGCTAAAATTCCAGTCACAGGACCCTTTCATACTGTATGTAGGAGTAATTTGTCCTGTGATGTTTTTACATGTCACCACTAGAGGTCAGTATAGCCACTCAAATTGCCTTTCTCCTTCATAGCTGATTTAAGGATCACCACTGCTCCCAACAACATTGAAGTGTCTGAAGGCAGCACAGCTCTTCTGCCTTGTGTGGTGTCTGGAGACAACGTCAGTATACGCTGGTCCAGGTACTAACAATTCATTTAAGTGTCTTTATACAAATAAGTTACTCACTCAGTTGTTTATTTTACAAATCCACCAAAAGGCTCGATGAATGGATCTCCCAGGATAATTACTGTGCATTTGGTTAATATGTAAATCTTTAAAAATTTTCATAATTCATTTGGAGGTAGTTAAAAACCTGCTTGTTTTGATCTTTTATTCGTCTCCTTCGAAACAAGTAGATGGTGCAGGGGCAAGCCCACTCACAATAAGCACATTTTACCCATAAAATCACCTGCTATAATTGAATAATCTTCCAGACAAAACTATGACATCTCTATGGACACATGCAAGTGCTGCATTGTGAAAATGTATTTAGTTTCGGCTGCTTCTAATTATAATGTTTTTTTTTGTTTGTTTTGTTTTTGTAGAAATGGTGTCCCTGTGAGACCAGATGGTTTTAGGCTTCTGGTCTCATCTGATGGGAGCTTGGTCATAAACAAGGTGAAGCCCTCAGACGAAGGCACCTACACCTGTAACGCTTTCACCGGGATCTACTCTGTGAGCGCCACCGCTGAGGTCAGAGTCATCAAGGAGACAACACAAGGTGAGGGACGAGGGACTGTATACTGAAATATATGCAGGACTAAAACATTTCATAAACCTGTTCAAATCGAATCTTGATTTTACCATTAACAATTCTAATTTGGATATGGTCACAATTTTAAAAATATTTACATGTTTTAGACATTTATTCTATTATTTTATTTCTGTCAAACTAAAATTTCTCATCTGCATGGAGAAGTTATTTCTTTGATTTGAATATTCCACAATATGGCATTAAATGTATCTTTCTATTTTATTTCCTCATCAAAAACATACCCGGGGTTTTGTTTGTTTCATTCACACATGTTTGAGTAACTACATCTGCATCTCCAAAGCTAGTGATGTCATGAAGTGGTGGTTTTAAAGTTAAGAGCTACCTTTTACCTTTAGTTCCGTCAACACTGGTGATTCTAGGGCTGAAATTATCCAAATGATTCTAGTGAAGTTTCTGCCATTTTTAACCAATATTTATGACTCTGTTGCTATCATTCACTGTACCACATCTCCTCTTTCTCAGATAATGATGTTCCTGTGGATTGTGTGGACCAGCCGGAGCTTGCTAACTGTCAGCTGATTGTTTATGCCAGACTCTGCTCCAACCTCTACTTCTCCAGTTTCTGCTGCGCCAGCTGCACCAAACATCTGAGGAACGAGAGATTTAAACGCTTTGGCTAGACACGAGGTCAGGTCAAAACTACAGCACAGAAAAGGAACGAGAAAAGAATGTTTGAGCCACTTGGAGACTCTTAAAAACTTTTATAAAGTGCGTCAAAAGGACTCAAGACTTCTTCTTCAAACAATCTATGAATGTAACTTTAGTTGTTCATTCACTGCTAGGCTTAACACTGATACTGGAAATAAGGTACATTTCCACTTACTGACCTCATAGTGTTATTAAAGGCAGATGAATGTGATGCAGAAAGGTTTATTTCACTGGATATTGTTTCATGTTCTCTGTTTTTAGAGAAAGTTATTATGTTACTACTGTACGGTCGTGTTTAGTATGTTTCTTGATAAAACTCATTGTTATCTTGTAATATATGTGATATTAAATACTTTATTTTGATTTAATGGCGTATTGTGACTCTGAATTATATTTGTTAGGTTAAGGTTATTTCTAGTTATAACAACAAAAATAATAATTTTCATTAAACTTATATTTTAAGAGTTTTTAAGAATTTTTTAACATTCTTTCTTACTTTGAGCAGCTTTAAAAAATTAAGTTTAACAATGTCTCCATGGAGACAAGTAGGTAGTGGACCCTCCAAAAAGATGCATCTTTAAGCTTTGAGTTGTAAAAAAAAAGGTTGTAGAATTTGTATGCAGTGTTTTCTATGCAACTGTTTGGCTCATTTACAGTGAAATATGTACTACTCTGCAGTTTAAAGGATGTTTTATTGTTTTATTTTTGCTGTTCATTTTATCCAGTTTTCTAAATCTTACCAGCTGTTCCTCTTTCTCTTAGTATAGGACCTTATATTGCAGTGTCTGTGTTATATTGTTGTATATTTAAGTCTTTTTATACTCTCTCCAGCTGTGCATGGTCTTTCCCTTTATAACAGATTTACCTCAAGTGTGAAAAATTGTCTGGTTTTCTGCAATAGCAGGAGAGACATTATAAAGAGAGGTTTCCTGTTTATCTGACAAAGCACAAACATTTATTTTTGTCATGTGATTCTAGGCCTGAGAGAAACCCATAATTGACAGTTAGAGCTGAAATGTGTTTCGTGGTGGTTATGTCAGCACACTGCAGTGTTTTTTTTTTTTTTTTTTTTACAAAATTATTCACTGAGTGAAATTACTGTTGCATAATTGTTCATTATACGGAGAGTTAAAAAAAAAAAAAAAGTTAAGTGAACAGTAGCCTATGTCACAATTTCTCGTAATACCACCATTGTCCACAAGATGGCAGCAACCAACAGCTAAATGTGCCCACGCAGATATTTTAACAAATTCAACATACTTTTTGGTTAAATGATTAAGGCATTTTCTAATCTGTTTTAAACTAAGTCAATGTATTCAATTTGATATAATGAATTTATAACTTCTTATCTATAATTACTTTAATAGGAAAATGTAATATTACAAAAAAAAATATTGAATACAGAAAATGTATTTAACAACTGACCCTGACCCTCAAAGCAAATAAGTAACAACGTTACTCTTGTATAAAGAGTAATTTAAAAATAAAATAATTTTACACAAAGTCTATAGGCCTTTTGAACTGACTTATGATGACAAATTAGTATACCAAGTGTTGTAGATGTTAAAATTGTTTTAACATTGTAAGTAGATTTGAACAAGTAAAATTAATCTTATTCACTATGAATATTAAGTATGTGCCAAATTGTGTTTATACAAGGCCTGTCGTGATAATTACTATATCAACTTATCTTTCACTATATGAAAGCTGGAACAATATATTTTGGGGCTCAATATTTATCATTTGTACAAAATCCTTGTAAAATTGGGAAATTTTTTTGATATTTTTGTTATGATACCATAAGATCTGAGCTGTAAAAGGTTAAATAAGTGAGTTCTATGTCTAATTACTGCTTCAGATTTATCTATTGCCAGTCAGGCCTTTTAATGAAAGTGCCTATTTAGAAATGTGCTGACTCGGATTATACTGCTTTATTATCATTGTGTCAGTAAGTATACAGTAGTTTCATTATTGTCATTCATCACAGTATGTAGCAATATATCGTGCTTCAACATTTGTTAACGTGACAGGCCTAGTTTATACTATATTTGTCTACTAACTTCATGAGCTGTCCTCCTGTCCATGTACTGTACTACAGTTTACATATTTGATTCATATGAATCACATGCTCTATATGGAAACCCTGTGAAAGACTCAAAGCACATAACCACTGATACTTGCATCTTATTAACTTTTAATCCCTTGTCTCATCTATGATTCATCTATCTGTTCTTCAGGGGCAGATGGACAGGCCAACTGCTGTCAACCGTCTTCCATGTAATATTCAAGATGCACACACTGGAGTCACATGACCAGCCAGACAATGAGGGGCCTCCCTACGACCATGGCCGCCTTTTGTGTGAGTTCATTACCAAGCTGGAAACATGATTTACATCTACATAAGAAAAGAAGTCATTACAAATATTAGACTTTTATCATGTCACCTATTTATATACTGACATGCACATTACAAGTATTTCCACTCTGAAAATGTACTTGCTGCTGATAGATGCTAGATGCTGCAAACTTATTACTAGAAGTATACATTTGGATCAGTGTACCTTGTAGTAACACAGTAACTGTAATAGTAGTAAGAGTAAAAGGGGACAGCCTAAAAAAAATTTGCAGTAATATGGAATACAATAGCATTGTAAGTAGCATAGTCCTATTTACTTAGTAGTGGTAGCCTTGTAGTAAAGATAGTAGTAGTAGTAGTAGTAGTAGTAGTAGTAGTAGTAGTAGTAGTAGTAGTAGTAGTAGTAGTAGTAGTAGCAATAGAAGTGGCAATGGTAGTAGCAGGAGCAGCAGCAGCAGCAACAGCAGCAGCAGTAGTAGTAGTAGTAGTAGTAGTAATGGTGGTGGTGGTATAAAATAGTGACTAAAGGGAACAGCCCCTTTCCCCCTTGAACTGTTGGCTATAGTTTTTCAGGCTGCCATTTTCCATTATAGGCCCACTACTATTTGTATTAGTTTACATTTATGAAACCTGGTTAAGTTTCATATATTTTAAGACTTGAATAAACCCTTTTCACACGTCACTACCTTTCCCAGCAGATCCAGTGACTGAAAGCCCCTTAGGCAGATTTCCTTTTATAGCACCAACACTTCACACAGCTTATACAAACTGCCTTTATCTAAAGAAAGACACAGCTAATGTCAACAAACCATAAACTACCTGTCTCTGTGTGACCCCAGCATGAAGCACAAGAATAGGAAATCTAAACTGTAGATTCCAAAATAAAAGAAATTCGCACATTTACAAGTTAACCCTCTCAGGCTCAAATTTAATTTTAGTAACAGGAAAAAATCTGATATTTGGGGGAAATGATCATATGGGGTAGTAATCATTACTTTTTTTTGAGAGAGACCTTCACATGCAATGCTTTCTGGGATGTTGCAGATTTGCAGCATTGGTCCGGTGTGGTAAATTAACACTGAAGACTGAAAATAATATGAATGCTATCTTCATGTGTATACCAGTTTTCATAACAATGAAAACATAAAGCGCAGTGTAACAGGGCTTTACAGTGGCAGAACAACATCACTTTTTCGTGTGGTACTTTCAAGAAACAATTTTTATCCTTTGTAAACAACAAAAGTACTTTGCACTTCTGGCAGGCCGTTTGTTTGTAGCCATTCTTGCACAGTCTGAATCGTCCACGTTTATCAGCATGGATGGGAAAAAAGGCTCCTGAGTAAAAAAAGCTAATAAAATATGGATTTGGAGTAAGTAGGTAATTGGCATTTAGCTGATGCAAATCTGCAACACCTGCCTGGAGAGGGTTAAAAGTATTAAAAGTGAGTGGGAATAGCTAATAGCATTTTTAAAGTCCCATGAGATTAAGAATACTTCCAAAACTATTAACTACAACTTAAACTATGAGCAATAGTAATAAATGTGTGCTACCATGGCTACTAAGGCTAATACTGTTACTGTCACATCTGTAGAATTGTAGAAATGTAGAATATTTTGTTTGTGAAACTTTGACACAATAAAGTATAAAAAAAAGTTTAAAAAAATTGTGGTTGACGCAAAAAGGCAAAAAAGATTGTCATGTAGTTGATACTTTGAAAGTATGTTTTGTACTATCAAACATCAAATTTACAAAGTGAATGCTGTAAACTAGTCTACACTAGAGGGTAATTGCCATATTCAAAGTTGTATTTGTAATCAATCAATTATACTATGGTATAGTACAAGTGTTGTAGTACTTTATTACAGTAATACTGTGCAATGCAAGCCCTAGGTCTATAATTTATTCAAGACCAATTAGCTGACAGGTGAATAGAAAAAGCAGTGGTGACAGACTGCAGGACATACCGTGAATCTCATTCATTTTGGGAGTGGTGCCTCTCAGATCCACAACACTGCTAAACAGAGGAATCACACAGGGCTTTGATGAGATTAAATATAATGACTAGTTCCTGTAGTCAACAGCTGTGGCTGCTTCCGCCCACCATTCACAAGGTCTGAAAAAATATATATTATAATTTGTTCAGTTTTCTCAGTGATCCAATAATACACTTTCATTTTGAAAACCTTTATAGACTGTGTAGCTTCAGTAGTCTGTAACAGTTGAAATCAAATAAACTAAAACCAGGACTAAACCAGGACTACACGAGGATTAAACTGGAACTCGACCATCAAATCTAAAACCAGGTTTAAACAAAGACTAAACCAGGTAAGTCTGAAGTTAAACCAGTTCTAAACAAAGACTCAAAGAGAACTAAACCTGGCTCAAATTAAACAATGTTAAATAAAGACCTCAAACTCAACTTTGGCATTTAAATGCACTAAATGTGGATCAAATTCATTGAGACCAGATGAGTGCCAAATCAGGTCTATGCTAAGACATAACCTGGACTAAACCAAAACTCAACCAGGATTAAAACAGAACTAAACCAGGACCATACCAGCTTTATTGCTAAAATGGCGGGCCTCTCTGGTGTAACTGTAGCGGTGTCCCCTGGGTCTTTGCCTGGAGCACTGGCGCTGCATAGATTAGGATCTGCAAATTAAAGTCTCAACTGCCGATCCATTCATTCACAAATCTCCTTTCAGAGTATTTTAGGTTGGAGCAGGAATCCACACTCCGCGCGGTTACCTCCTCACGGGCCCCTGGTGAGGACCCGGGGCCTGTAAAGACGTGTGCAGGGGTCAAGAGCACCGCCACACTTCTAACAAGACTCATTTCCATAATGCTGTCCAGTCTAAAGGGGAATTACACTGTGCAAATATAAACTGATTTTCAGAAAAAGTACAAATTTGTATTTATGCTATGACACACTGACTCAAACTCAACAAAGTGAGTGGAAAAATGAAATGGAAATGGAAAAAATATTACCAATTAATAGAAATGAATACTTT